CACCAGAAAAACTTCGTGCGCAGCGCCCGCCACCACTTGCACTTGCGCGCCGTAACGTCTCTGCACTGGCTCTACCTTTAGAAAAGATATGTTCCCAGGCGGCACCACGAGGAGGTTGCAGAGTCCGAATTTCGCCGCCCAGGAGCACGCTTGGGCGTGGCGGGGATGTTGTGATGACATTGGCGTTTTGTAAGTATGCTTGAGACGGCTCCGTGAACAGTCGTAGAGGATATAGGTACCAGGATGACCTTGGGTACAGGAGATGGGAACAACGAAGGACGAGGACAAAGACATTAACAACAAGGGTATAAGAAACCAAGGGTATCAAAAACAAGTACGAGGACGACAAGGACGAACAGGGACGACGGGGATGAGAGAAAAGACGTGGGCAGGAACGATAGAGCCTAAGGATAACAGCATAAATAAGGGAAGGAAGAATAAGGACTAAGTCCTCCCATCCGCTCTTTCTATCTTAAGAACATCGCTCCTTCCTAGAAGCGCCCCTTGGCACTAGCAGGAGCGAATACGACGCCCTGGCCCCCGTTCTTCCCGCCCTCGTCTAGTGTTTGCTGTCGTCGCTGTTGTCCTCTGTCGTCATTGTCGTTATCTGTCGTTCTCTTTCGTCCTTGTCGTCCTCTGTCGTTCTTGTCGTCCTTGTCGTCCTTGTCGTCCTTGTCGTCCTTGTCGTCCTTGTCGTCCTTGTCGTCCTTGTCGTCCTTGTCGTCCATGTCGTCCTTGTCGTCCTTCATGCCACTTCATTTGGTTTCTGGCTTTTTCCAACAACATATCGACATACCACTCCACTCCAGCATGGCTACGAACCCGCCTAACCGGTCCAAACAGGACTTGAAACCTCGTTACCGCCTGAATTCGGTCTAGTTGGTCGCATCATACACGCACTTAACGCCCGGGGAGCAAAGGTTGGGCGACGATCTGATCCGCCTGCTCTGGGACAGAAACCGACTTCTACAGAAGCTCAACAACGACAGCATCGAGCTCGAGCAAGCCCGCCAGTTGGTTTGGGGACTTGTCTTCCACAACTGGAACTCAAACGACAAAACGCCCGCACCTGCTAAAACCCCCCGCACCCGCGAATATTCTCGCGTCAAGGTTGAACTTTGTTTGGACTATTTGAACTGGTGGGAAGATGATACGAACGGGCTACAGGCCTACAGATTTGGAATGGGCGCCAACCATCAGTACCACGGTGTCTGTCCTAGCCGTTGTGCGTGTTTTCATCCCACTTGCTTGGATAAATGCTAACAATAAGCCATAGCGCGCTAGCAACAACATAGCTCTCGGAGGCTTTCCAATTTGGAGCTCAATCCATGCTCAAGGCAAGGAATGCCTAACGGGACGAGAAGGATGGGCGACAGGCGCAATGACAGAAGCCAGATAGCCCTTAGAAGCAAGAACTTCAGAGAAATAGAACTTTAGAGAGAAAAACGTCTTAATGAGTGAACTTGATCTACCGCTTGCCACCGACAAACTCCGGGACCAAAATTTCACACGCTTCGGGTAAAACATGCCTCAGAACTGACCTGGAAGATCCGGGCTTAACCTCTCCAAGGCACGACGACTTGCCAATAATGCCTGTACTCATTTTGAAAGCCATGGTCTTCGTACTCGTAACTACCGAATTTCCCAGCCACACGAAGGAATCTCGTCCGGCTTAATTCTCACACGCCGCTCACCAGCTAAATGGCCCGAGACCCATATCAGGTATGCCAAAGGGGTCATCTTCACCGTCAGTGCGACGTCTGGGCCTCTGCTCCCAGTAATCCTGGAACACGCTCATCTCCACAGCCTCCTTTGTCGGGTACACTCTCCAGAACGGGTCATCGTAACCATTGAATATGTACTTATTCACCAAGAACAGGGACTTCTCCTTCTTATTGACCGCGTCGCTTAAAATAGACGGCAAGCTCGCGTCTTCCGCGCGGTGCAGCCTTGTCGTGAGAAGGTTCCTGTCGCGGCGGAGGTGGCCGGCCATTGCGTTGTACTCTTCACGCAAGAGCTTGTCCGTGTAGCGGTTGAAGTACCTTTGCCTGCGCCCGCTGGGCGTGTTTTCCTTGAGGATTTGGAGGAAGTCAGCACGCTCTTGTCCGTACTCTCTGTCAGTCCATCCATCTTCGCAGAACAGGTGTGCGATCCTTTTGATGGTGTCTGTTGATGGGGTGAGAGGACGAACGGGAGGGGGGCTTGGCTCCTGAACGGGAGATGGGGCGGGATCCTGCTCGATATGAGTTGGTTCAGGGTCCTCGTTTGTTTCCCAAGATTCGGTCGTCGGTACTGCGTTGATTGACGTTGGCTGTTGTGCGAGAGGCAGTATCGAATTCTGGCTTCTTGCCATCGGGTCCTGGTCCTCAGCTAAACTCAAAAGCCCGGGCGCTGGTAAATCCGAAGCCTCAAGTGATATCGAATCACATAAACCCGTTGATGTTGGATCCTCGGGTTCAGGCACTGTTGGATCCCACGACCCAAGCGCTAACGAGTCCCATGATACAGGTGCGTATGAACCACATAGCTCCGAGAATGGTATTCCAGACGCTAGGAAATCCCACGACCCAGGTGCAGTCGAATCCCACGGCTCCACTGCTGGAACATTAAGATCCACGTCCGTGGATTTCCAACTTCTAGGAGTCGACCTCTGCCCCCTTTCCAACTCTCGCTTTTGCTTCCTTTCCAACTCACGCTCACGCTCACACTCCCTCAGCGCGGACTCATAGTTCGACATGAGTAATGCTTCCTCCTGCGTTCCCCGCAGTAGCTCATCCCAGGTTGGATTCGTTCGCGTGCGGATGTAATTCACGCAGTGACTATCACTCCTAACGCCGCACAGCTTGTGGAGCGCTACTGGCAAGTCGTCCACATGACAGTCCATGTACTTTAGGACATAATGCTCGCGGAAGATTTGGCACAGCTCGGCGATGAGATCCTGGTACTTAGCTTCGTCTTTGAAATACCCCAGTAGATCTCTCGTGTGATTACGCACGTCACAGCGATAGTCGTCTGTGGTGTAGCGCTCGTTTGTTCTGGAGTCTGGGAATAGGCCTTCGTGGGCAGATTCCTTGAGGTCCGTGGCCTTCTCCTTCGTAGCTGGGCAAAGGGGCCCGGCAGAGGAGAGCTCGAGAGTTTGGTCGGCGAGGGCGATGGCTTGCTGGAATAATAAGATGTCTTCGGGCGAAATGGGAGAGTCTTCTATGGTTTGTACATGCGATGATCCTGCAGAGATGATGGTGTTTGGTAGGTGAGATGGACGCCTAGGCTGAAGTTCAATAGTGGTGCGAGAGCATGAGCTGGCCTTCCTCAATTTTCCCGATGAAGAAGAGAGCAACTTCATGTTTATAATGATCTTGAGGCTATCGGAGATGGAGGTTGTCCGCCAGGGTGCGAGCACTGAAGTGCCGTGGCCCACTTATACAAAGCTAAATATTCGTTTCCACGGGTTGACCAACTGTGTTTGGTCGACCTTTACGAGCCAATCGTCCTGCCCAAAGGACGATCTCCATGAGTGTCAGAGTTGCCACAGCATGTACAACCTTTTGATACAAAGTTGCCCTCGCCACCTCTTAAGGTTGGAATGAATAGAGGCGAGCCGTATTCTACCTATTTACAGTGGCGTACCGTGTATCGTGACGTATGCTGAGACATTCATATCTATTGCGAAGGAGTTAAGACGGCTTCGTGCGGCTACAAGCCAAAAGACTGCATCATGCTCATGAAACTGGACTATGAACGGTGCCCTCCGGGTTTTGCACAAAGTTGCTCATAACATTGATGCTCTTAGACCGTTGCCACTCAGTATCGTTCAACAAAAACCCATACTCCTGTCAAATCTCCGCTGTTCCCTCTTGGCCACCCCATCCATGTCCTGGCACTTCCCTCTCCACCACTCAGACTGATAGCGTTCTATCTCCCAATCACCCCATTTTTTGATCTCACTGACTGACATTAGAATGATGTGAACCTTTGGCCGTGCCTTTGAAAACACCCGGAGCACTTTCTTCGTAAAGTTACTGTCTGCGATACGGAGCTCCTTCAGCTTCGGTGCTAACTCCGGACGTTCCGTCAACGCCTCGAACACCTTGTCGTGGCCAGTATTCCCCCCGCATCGTGTAGCCTTGCTGATGTGTAGATGTGTGAGATCAGGGCAATGCTCGCATAGCGCGAGGAACGACTTCTCCGAGAGGCCCGAGGCGCCTGGTAGATCGAATGTTTTGAGTTTGGGACAGGCTTGGGCGATCTTGACGATGTCATCGTCTGTCAATTTCTCGGCCGAGTTGGTGGCGCCGCTGTCGACGTCGTGTAGGGTAAAAGAAAACTTGGTTAGCCGTTCGCAGGTTTCTGTGAAGAAAGAAGTGTGTCAATGTGTGCCCTGGGGATAGAGTCAGTCCCGGTTTGGATAATGGAGATCTTACAACTTTGGCATAACCCGGCACTCCGGATGACTAAAGCTGTAGGCAGAGACAACTCACGGCGTCAACATGTCCCAAAAGCTGATCTCTCTAGTTGCATGGCCAAGCCACTAGTCGCGTTCTTCTTGCCACTGCTTCTCATGCCTGAAGCATACTCTAGCATTGCCTTTGGGCCCCTTTGGTCGCGGTGCTCTCGTAGTCTTCGGCGTGGAGGTTTGCTTCTTCCTCTGTGCTGGTGATGCTAGCTGGAAGCTGAGATCATCATCGTCACTGAAGTCGTCGGCGTCAAAGTACACCGCCGCGGCGGCGTTTTGCGCAGACGACTGGCTCAACGTCTGCTGGCCGGGCTCTGGCTCGGATGTCACCGAGATGGGACATGCTATCTTGTCATTATTCGAGGTGGATGAACGGGGTATCCCAGGCTTAGAGCCGGTCGCGGGGCGGCCAGCGGGCGCAGCGGCCGCGCTGGACGGCTTGGCTTTGACGCGCCGGCTGGCACCGGACACAGCAGCACGCCGTCTGACACCGTATCTAGCGGCAAGAGTTGCCCTTCTGTCCGCGTCGAGCCTCCTCAGCATTCGTGACGGCGGCATCGTGATTTTCCAAATTGAAGTGCGATTTGAGTTTTCAAGCCGAGACGTTTCTTTCTGCACGCGTGATGTTGAAAATCCCTGAGAACTCGGCCCCTGGGAAAAAGAAACCACTCCCTGAAACTATCTAAATCAGATAACTCCGGTGGAGAATTGCGCACGTCGCGGCGCCCCTTCATTGGCTAGATTAGCCTGGGTTAACATGACATCATCTCCATAATTCCTCGAGCCGAACCTTGTTCTCAATACGATGCTCGCTTCTTTTTTACCTCTCTTTTACTCAAAGTCATCACTAAACAGGCAATATGACTGTAGTTTGGACCTCTCAGTGTTTGTGGGACTATAATGCTACATTAACGTGATCTCATCCCGAAAATGGCATGAACCGATTGACGGTGAGGTAAACGCCTGCAGGCTGTCGACGGAGAGAATAGAAATCTTCGATGTACACGAACAACCGGCCACAAAGATAGAAAAAAAGGAGAACAGACATCGGCACACTAACACGAAGTGGTATCGCCATATCTGGATCTTGGTTGGCCGATGAATTTCTCCATTTCATTGCCCAGCGGTGCAGCCTGTTGGATATGCGCCGTTTTAGTTTTGGCGAGATTTGCGGGATAGCTGTTTCCGGATCGTTTGGCATCGCTGCGTTCTCCGCTAACTCGTGCTCGATGACATGTGGCTGCGTTTGGTTCTCGTATTTTTCGATGTTGCGCCGGTGCCACCTGCAAACATCGACGGCGTAGTACAAGCTGCCTTGTACGCAAAAGAAGGTCTGGTATGACGCGAAGATTCTCCAAATAATCTTTTCTGCATCAGTTGGGAAATAAAAATTCCAGGCGAAGAGAAAAGACGCGCCAAAGAAATTTGCAACCAGAAGAGCGAGTGGCAAGAAAATCGGGTCTGCAGGCTCCCAAACATATGGCGGAACTCGATCCCATGGTGGTGGCGGAACTCGATCCCAGAGCTTCGGCTTCATAGACCTGGCAAGCAGTTTGACACGTATGATTTCTAAGAAACGATAGTAGTATGCGAGATGAGCACCGAACAACCAAGGGTGCCCTCTCACAAAATGAACAGGAGTTCGGTACCAATTCGTGTCGTCGACCGGGAGGTTAGGGTGCGTCTTGGAAAGACTTAAATCACTCTCAATCAACTCAGGGGTGGTGGTAAACATACCTTTAACCTGGCTGCTGCACGAATCTCACTCACTCTTTTCCCGTTCTTAGTATAAATATATCTGGGCTTGCCGACGGTCGGTTTCTGGAACCAGAATGCCGAGGTGAAGATCATAACCGAAACGAATGATAATGCGGTCAGCTCTAGGGTGGTCATCGGAAACCCCTTGTGTATCCGTGAGAGCTGGCCAACACTAAACCATATAACTTGGAGAACAGTGAGAACTCTGTTAGCACATCGTCAGCTACTGCATCTCGCTGTCATGTAGCTACGAAACGACACGTCATGAAGATGTGAGAGAAATCAGAGGTATCAGTACCTGGATAAGGTGTCTGCGGTGTCGGTCTTATCCACCATCATAGATTTCATATCCGGGAACTCTACATGCCCTTGTTCCAGAAGATAATGAAACTCTTCAGCAGTGATCGGGAACCCCTTTTGGAAGTCTGGGCTCCTCAAAAATAGTCCGCCCATATCGACGAAGAAGGCATGTCGATACGTCCATGAAGTCCCATTGCATAAATGTGCATCGCGTTTGAATAACTATAAGCTTAGTCAGATGGTCCCAGATTCTTACGTCACTCAGAATATCTGCATCATACTTTTACACTTCTTCGTGCACTTGACAATTGCCCTATGGCAATTGCAAAAAGAAAGTCGGGTCCTAGCAGGCCTAGTAGTGCTAGGTGAAACTTGTCGAGATAGTGATGCCACGACTTATCCGAGGGCGATGCAGCATTGGGATGTGTAGAAACCCAACAGCATAGGAGAACGGTGAAGCAACAGTCCCAAAGAATTTCAATACTTCCTCGATCATTGGAAGTACCCACCCAGCCATCCACAGGCGCATGGATGTCGACAACATTCCCGGTCTCTGATGACATTGTTGAAAAAGTCAAAAGATATCGCGATGCTTTCTGTCGTGCCAGGAGGTTAGAGAGAGGGTAAGCTCCTTAAAACAAATTGGTCTGCAGAAAGATACGGGATTCTTCTCATCCTGCGTCCCAGCCTTCCGTGGCCGAGCAAGGGATAAGATGGAAAGAATAACGGCAGGATCTTGGTCCCCGCACCGAGAGGCTCAAGGCCAATCAAAGAATCCAAGAATCTGACATCTTCTCCATGAGAAAAACTGACAGCCTGATGGTATCAGCGCTTACATAGGTTACATCACAGCTCAGCTTCGGGGGTCCCGTCTTGGCACGCGTAAGCGCCCGGTCTTTCAAAGGCCCTCCACGGAAAAGCACTGAGGCCCCGTCGGGAACATTGCATGCGCGGTGACCCCTCTCCCCATCGTCCACGTCTTTTCTGGCAGCCTTGACGACTCGAGTAAAAACATGTTCTGCCACACATGGCAAAAGAATATGGAGGGACTGAATGAGCACTAGAATTGTCGGCATGCTAGCATTGTTCGCTTGTGCGCAGTCTATCTGGACTCGAATCCAACTTCCCACGTACTTTGAATCACGTCGGATGGTCCATCCGCTGCGAGTAACATTGTCTGTTCTCGATGGAACCGATTCCCCGACCGCTGTCCCACCAACACCATGGTCGAATCCACCCCTAAGCCCTTCACCTTCACACAGAGCACCTCCGCATTTGTGTGGCGCTCAAGCTGTTCCTGAGACAGATAACGTCGGCCAGAGGATAGTCCGAACCACGAATCATCATCCGCTCCCTTCTCTACCTTTTCATAATTGTGCCTTTGACGCACCGGCTTCAGCACTAGAACCGCTGCATCCGCACTCACCAGCGTTGCCACGAACCCCTTGACTTGCAGCAGACCCCCGTTGCTCACCAGCCCGCAGCTCTCAATCGATGGGTGTCTATCAGCTTCAATCTCCAAGCGATTATTTTTGACCCTGGGCATCCAGCACTTCCCAGACGCTGCGTTAGGCGAGCTGCACATCACCGTGAGGTTGACACCTCGTCCCCTCATCAACCTATCGTAGACGCCTGCGAAACCCAGACCGTAATCGACGGTTATGTTCTCCGGCAGATCGCTCACTAGTCCCATGTATCCGTACACGAGGTCTTCTTCTCTCCCGCATTGTCTCCTTGTTGTTGTTCCACAAGGTTGGCATATCCACCAACTTCACCTTTGGACTCATTGTGTGCCGGAGGAACGGGTTCCATGTAGTGGCCTCGGCCGAAGAGCCGCCCTCTGTGTTGGCCGCCCACACCTTCTTCACCAGCCGCGTAACCGATCTGGCTCTGCCTCCTAGAGCTTCCACGATCTGCGCTACTGCGAGGTCCTCCATCGAGCAGAACCCCCAGCCGTTCCAAGCTATCGTCTGCTGATTTAGAACGGCCTCTTGGAACGTCCACACCCTTTGACTTCATTTACTGATCTTCAACTGCTTGCCCAGCTGCCTGTAGCGGACTTCCAGCCAGGACGTCAGTTTGTATTCGTCGCCTTCGGGCCCCTCTATCCATCCTTCTCGTCTGCCTCCGAGCGGGTCCGCCAGTTGCATCATGGCAGTCTGCAGCTCCGGCACGACGGCCAGCACACCGGCCGCCCTCTCGTAGTAAAGGCCCATCTTCGGTATTTCGCGGGCCAAGTCGCCGGGGTCGTCCTGCTTCACGCACAAGGCGTCGATCCAAACATGGCCGATACCTGTGTGCCGCATAGCCTCTTGGACGGTGCGTCATAGGCCTTCTCTATCCGGGTGCTGCGTCCACACGTATGACAAAGCCATGTATTCGGTCGGGGCCCCGGCCGGCTCGATCACGTCCCACGACGAAACGTTTACCAGTCTGGTCGGCGCGAAGTCGGCGCTGTTGTGGCTGCGCAACTTTTCGATGATTCTGCATGCCATGGGCGAGCTTGTCCAGTTCTCCTTGACGTGCAGGACTCCGCGCTGCCAGCGTTTGCCCCGTCGCCGCGCTTCCTTACTCCTTCTGGTCATTGTGGGGGCTCCTATACTGGGTAGAAGGCTTGATTTGTTATTGCTGACTCCGAGCCTCTTCGGTGATAGGGTTAGTGAACGGCTTTGGAGAATCGTTGGTGTTGTTGCTGGCAGCGCGTGGTGAGAGCCTTGATCGCCTGTTGATTCTGGGAGAGTGGCCCAGGTATGTATCAATGCAGAAGACTTTCTGCTTATCGAAACGCTGAGCAGCTGACGCTCCAATTACAGGAGGAAACCTTCCTCGGCTTTAGCCCGGCCCTGGACGTTTTTGCCAATCTTCAAGCGGAGAAAGCAGAGCGACGGGAAAACAGGCCGTTGGCACACCCAGCTGCTGCCACAGCCTGATGTGTCGTTCTATTTTCCCTTTCTGCCTCGCCCATTCTTTCAGCTTTGGTCAGCAACTTGGCTTCTTGCATAGAGCGGGATTCTGACTGGTAGGTATCTGAACCAATCCGGACTGAATAGCGATCAAGCCATCTTGAGAATCAAAGGCACCCTTGCAATAGTTGGCATGACGTCTGAAGGTGTTCACTCCACTCTACACAGGTACGTACAGATCGGAAAGGAATACCGAGAGACTTCATCTTGTCTTCGTAGTGTTTTGTACTGAAATGCTTCATGCTACCGAGTGCATGGAGTCCAATAACTATACAAGTCGCAGCACAAAGGTACCTTGGTGCAAAACATTGAAAGAGGACCCTGTGTCTGCACCAAGATTGAATAAGATACGCTGAACGGTCAGGTACCCTGATGAAAGGACTATCAACAATGGGCATCACATACAATATCCGTATGAGAAGTTTCTCCTTTCTCCCACTTTCTTATACAAACTTGATAGGAACAGGAGTTCCCCTTCCCCAATTTAGGTCCCAACACCAGTCAGGATGGCAATGGAAGTCCCCTACTCCCTGTTTCATAGACAGAAATATCAGGCGTATTTCTTATTGTTCATCTAATGTTAACATTCTAGAATCTATTTGCTTATGTATATCGTCTAAGGACTTTTCCCTCTTCTATGATACCCGCAGTCTCGTGAGGCATACCCTCAAGCTTGATGCCGGCAAAGGCAATATCTGTTATCATCTTTTGTACAATTCACCAGCACAACGTACCACAATGCCTGCGAGTGGTGCTGCGCCGGCCTCCCCCCGTTGACGCAAGCGTAGGCCGAGGCAGAACAACACAACAGACCCATATGATGCATACCTTACGACCACAAGATGGACAGAAGACTTGATGTCAACGCAGGCTTCAAGCTGCAAGCTCGAAACGTAGCTCGCCTCCACAACAATTTGAAGGCGGCCTCAGTCCATCGGCTGGACTCTGTTTAGTTAGCAGAGTCCATCGACGATCTGCTCGACCGCGAAAAGGGGATTACCAACGACCTGCTCCCCATCCTGTGGCGCGTCAACCGCCTTGGTAACCCTATGGCGGACGACCAGAGTTACAAGCGGGCGCGCGACGCAGTGTTCAAAGCAGTTTTCCGCAACTGCAATACTAACAGGCAGGTCTACCTGCCCAACCCGACTCGAGAACGCCACCTCTCTGACACCACTGTCCACGTCGGCTTGCTGGCGGAGGATGCCACGCCAGCAAAACAACACGCCGCAGAAAAGGAAAATTGATGGTACTCCGACCAACAAGCGCAACATCAAGCGTATCGCTGGCGCGCGGGTCTTCGTGAAGGTTCTCGCTGGTTTCCCGATCGCTCAGCTGACTCTTACGATGGTGGATGAGAATGGGTCGGTCTTCCCCAACTCGATTGTCGTGACCTACGTCCCCGACTACGACCTTCCCCGTCTTCGGACTGAGGCTACGATGAAATGTGACAATGCCGGGTAAAAGCGGTACGGGACCACGAACATGGAATGGGTGGTGTACTGGACGAGGAATCTGCTGACCCATGGCAGGCGCGCCGCCGTTCACGACACGTCCCCCAGGAAAAGCAACATCCCCCTCACGCCTCATTCCTTCACCACGCCTATTCCGGATCAATAATCCAGACGACATGTTGAAGCTCGTTGATATCGAGCTGTACGTCGACTTGCTCCATGGACCGTTCTTTCCTGGCTATCCGGGCGGGTAGTAGGTAGGAACAACAATAGGAACAAAAACGAAAAGATAGCGACGATGATAGGAACAGGGACGATAGGGACGACAAGGACAACAGGGACGACAAAGACGATAGGGACGTAAGGGACCATAGGATTAATACATTGTTAATACTCTAAGACCTAGGGTAACTGTTATCCGCTAGCCAAGGAAGACTCTTCCGTCAATATGGCCTTGGACGACGACTACTTAAAGCCTCCGCCGGTAGCTGAATGGCAGCTGACGGACCAGGCAATTGAGATGAGCATCTTCTAGAGGCTCTGAAGAGCTTCGGTCATGAAACAGCATAGACAGGGAGACTGAGTTGGCCGGTGTGTAGTCGGACCACCTCAACCTGTGCGAAGAGGGACGCGTGATATGAGGCGCAAAGTAGCCGGTCTTGACCCAGGGCTCCAATTCGATTCTGTGCAGCCTGTCTGGTCTACTTCTGTCCGATATGACGGACACCGCGAACTTTCCGTAGAGCGGTTTACGGAACGACAAATTCATGCGACGTCTCAACCATGGAGGCTTAGCCTTAGTACAAAACCGAGTGGCTAGGACAGGGAAGCCATGCGCAGCCGGTGCGCAATGCGACCTGTGGTGGGCAGGCAATAAGCTCAATAGAGTCAGGACGATTGGGGTCCGAATAAATTGGCTGAGACGTGTTCATCCAATGTCAGATACAAAGGCGCCCAAAAGTCTCCGTTGGGGCTGTTAAAATGAAACTGAGGAAGGACTCTAACACCTTCAGGGGTTGCGTGCAACTACCACCACATTACTCGTACTTGACTACGAGAAGGACTAAGATCAACGAAAAGCATACCGTGGGAAATTCCTATCACTCTTCTCATTTTCTTAATATCCGTAAATCCCGACACAAGCGTGCCCACATGTAGTAAGTATACGTGATACGTGACTTCGTGTAGTTTGGTGCAGCTCCTCTGGCTTATCTCTTCGACGAGAAAGCCAGACTGGTTCTGCGATGCTCGTCTCCCAGGTAGAGGTAATTCTCAGTGACTACTGACCTCATTCTAAAGCGCTCGCTGATCCTGGACCATACCTACCCTCAGAGGCTCAATGTGCCCATCGGTTGCGGGAGCAAAGTGATGTGGAGTTCGCGGCGTGCCAAGCGGTTACAAGTCGCTGAAATGCAATCATGACTCAAAGACATTGACTTTTCGACGGCCGCAATGAGGACCGTGACCCGTCGTAAGAGATGTCCCTACGTAGGACTTTACCTTACGGACCTACTATTCTTAATAATGTCGAAGTTATTAAAGACGTGCATGTCGGCCTCAACAATCGGTGAACTCAGTTAGCTACCTCAGCCACTCTTTCGCACCACTCTCGCTTTGGAACCTTGATACCCATTCACATCAACGGCAACATGAAGTCCTCAATCGTTTTCGCCGCCATCGCGTCCTTCCTTGGCGCCGCTTCGGCTGTTGATCTAGTCTGCTATGGCACTGGAGTTCCTTCGCCTATCAGGAAGGGCGATATTGAGTTTGCAATCAAGAACCGGCCGACTGAGCTGGGCATTCCCGGAGGCACAAAGTTTACATATCGCTTCAAAACTTGCATCGACCCTGAGAACAGCCCCAAGGAGGTCGCTGTAATTACAACACCCAGCAGTAAGTTCTTATTACCACTGATTGTACATTCATGTGGCCGAAAACGATTGGCCTTTGCTAGCCCTTCTCCTTCATCAACGGGCCTTGCAAAACTGCCCTGCCATCCCTAGCCGTAGCCCGTACTGGTTTATCCACCGAGTCAACGTTGCTAACAACTACAACCTAGTCACGAGAGAAGGATCGGTCAAGCTGGCGAACGGCGTCATCGAGTGTAGCACTGACGGGCCCCCGGATTCCACCTGCTAAGCGCGGATGATTGTCGTTTGAGCGCTGCGTTTTTAGATATCAAATTCATTCCCAGCAAATTCCTCTGGGGTCGCTTTCTTGAAATTGTTAATTGGTGGCTACTAAATTGTGAACACGACTGAGAGCAACACTTAAGGCTTGACGCCCTGGATATGTGCTGCAGCCAAATTTCATGCTCCTCTCCTCGCATCTCAAGACTTGACCCCGCCTGCATTGTGCCGGATTTCCTGGTACATTTGCTCCTCTCCAAGATACTCCGCATCATATCTGAATCGGTCCTTCGATATAGTAGTTGGGAAAGAGTCCGTTCTTCCCTTCCATCTGCCCGCATATCTCAACTCAAACAGCATGCGCATGACTTGCAGATTTTCATCTCTCTCCCATCTCTTAGCTTTTGTCGCTCCGTATCCTGATTTCTTCTGTAGAAAGATCGTCGTGGGTTCCAGGACAAACGACAGTCCAATAATTATGAATCCAACTGCTAGTAGAAGCGATAGTCCCAAGATGGAAAAGTTGAGTGTTCCCTGGGCATCCCTGGTAGTCTGGGACTTACACATGGCTTCGTGTGCAACTTGTACCTGCTCTTGGGCTTCCGAGCTCTTTGCGCTGGCGTTCCAAGCTTTGAAGATTGATCCTGGCACAGCAATTGAGGGGCCCGTGGCATACTCCGTCACTTGGTGCTGTAGCTTGGACAGAGCATCGGCGAAAAGGCGTCCCATTTCCCTCTTCCACTGGTCGGAAGGCAATTTGAGCTGCGTCAATTCCGCCACCAGCTCTTGTGCCTCGAGAAAACTCTGTGTGCGTGTCCATATCAAATGGTAGAATGAAGATATCGAAAGATGAAATAGCAGCCGCTCTACAGTTGCCAGCTGTACCGGGTTCAACTCCAAACGCTCTTCTCGCGCGCTTGACATAAGCTCACCACTCCCTACAAGAGAAGTGCAGATGCCGTTGTTGGGATTGCAAATCTCATGCCTGTCGGCGCAGGCAATAGGGCTTACGTATCGGTCGGGTTGATAGTAAGTGGTACCACCCTCAGTATCCACAGGAATATTGGCTCCAAAAACAGGGTCGTCATTTGGCTGCAGATGAAGGACTGAGTTGGGTGCGATAAACATCAGTGTGATATCCCTGTGATCGAGGACCAACGCATCTATCGGTGTCCAGTGGTTGTCGGTTCTGTGAGCGAATGAGACGTAGACTCCAGTGCCATATCCAGTGTGCATGTTCTGTCCATATTTGTTGTAGATATGCGTATAATTCCGAGATTCCAGGTTCCCATATAGATACTTGATCAGAACGTTGTCTTCCCACCCGAAAGTCTCTGCTTCGTTTCCGTTCACATCTCGGGCGAACCTGGACCCTGTGATGAGTGGAGCACACACAGTTTCTCTTCGGTAATTGACGCGATATTTTTCAGCCCGGTTGATACCCAAGTGCGATTGTGAATTGATCACCTCCGACTCCATTTTGAAAGCGCTGGCTCCGGTGGATCCCACGCAGATGTCGTCCGCAAAAGGGCATTCGACAGATGTTCCCGTCCAGCGTATCCAAGAGACTGGTAGACTGTTGCACGAGGCCGCTGAAGAGTTTGTGTAGCACTGTCGAGCATAGACTGAAGCCATGGAGTTGTCGTAGGTTGATTTCTGTTGGAGAGCGTCCCTGTCCGCCGGTTCAAATGCACCACAATCGCCCGCAGCCAATAATCGGAATTGTGTGGCACCGTCCGAGATACGAGACGAGAATATGGCTGCAACTGCAAAAACCGCAACATATAAAACTCCGCCAATGGCCCATGGAAGTGTTCTCAGGAGTGGGTAGTTCGCGTGGCCCCGCCAATTCCAAGCCTGACGGAGGAACAGCCCAGTGGCGGCCATTGGTGTCGGTGTATTTCGGAGAATGAGTTGTCGTTGGTAGTACAATCCGTCATGTTCACCCCCAGATGCAAGGATCTGATGGCATACAAATGTGACAATCCTCCAGAGCCTCGTTGCGACCACGGTGACGAATGTTGCGATAAAGGCAAGCAGAAGAGCCCCGTCGCGGGCGGACATGGTGATCGTGGCGCCTAGAACTCTACCATGGCTCCAGTCAACCCAGACTCCCATGTGAATTTCCTGAGACATGGTCACTAAGTGCGTCGACGGCAGGTGGTGTTTGCTGTGCAATAAGCGACCTCGCTGCTATTGTTCACGGAAATCGTTCAGAATCCTACTGGGCCATATCACTCGTAAAGAGGCGGACCCGAAACAATTTATTGAGTCAACAGCCCGCCCTCGTGACGATTTCCGTACCGCTGATTGGAATGGGTTATGATAGCTCCACCACTCCTCTGATTCGATGCCAAGAAATGTGGCTGAAAGCTGAAAATGCATCACGCTACGAATTCTGCGAAGCGCCTTGGCGACTCAAGGCAGGGTGCAATGCACTGCGGCGGGCCCTGGAGTAACTTTAATGGGTGTAGTCTCTCTTACTTCGATCAATGTCACGTCGTATGACAACGGTCTTGTAGGGGCGATGCGCATCTGGACTATTGCTTCTCGCAGATGACCCAGGTGCAAATCTGGAGAAGCTCTCTTCCCCGTCACGAACGGATGCTCGGAGAATACTCGTACCGAGTAAGAACCCGTTCACCATCTCTGGGAATGTTGTCTGTTGGGCCAAGAGCTTGCCCAGAAAAGGGATCATTTCCGTACCTTGGCCTCGCTTAAGATTTCCACATATGCATCCCATTGGCTACAGCGTCTCAACCGTACTTACAGAAGGAGGTTCCCATGAATGTCGCCCAATACGTTCACGTGCGCGTAGGAGCACCCGACCATGCAAGGCCCTGAAGCAATTCTTCGCGGTGGCAAGCCTGCACATATTACAGCAATAATTAGGATGCCTGCAACTTTTCGGGCTGAGTACGGGTCTTCTGTTCGATTTCGGAAATTGGAAATTGAGGTCATATTAACGGGCATCTCGGAGACAAGAGCGTCTCAACCCAGACATAGGGCGATTGATTCAGAGATCGGAGGGAAAATAGAAAAGAAAGGCATGATAGAGACAAAAAGAACGACAAGAACGAGAGGTCCTGGGGCGGTAGTCCGCCGCCCGGTCGCTCAGCAGACGCAAAATCAATACATGCTTGGGGATAACTATGTGTCGTAATAAGAGACCGAGATGCTATTGAGAACTTATGATATCCCTGATGCGTTCCAGCTGTTCCTTGGCCCGACCGATTTCAATCTCCAGGCATTGTCTAAGTTCCGGGTTTTCCTCGCTTTCCATTGCAACATTCTCGTCCCTAATGATGTCGAAAGATGTGCTCATGAGACTAAGCTCATCTTTAATCGAGTCCTGGAGCTCCTTCTGGAATTCATCTGCCAAAGTCTTCCATCTTCTTCGGAACTCTCGCATGTGATTCATAAAGAAGTCTTGGCTCTGCACCGTACCGTTGATGATCCCCTTTCGTCGTTGGTCGCTTCCCCTGCCTGCTTCGAGTATTAGCCACATGAAGAAGCACCGGAACAGAGACCCAAAATATCATACCATACTCCATGTTACAGCGCCTGTAAGATTCTTCCATTGCCTTACCGACGATCGAGGTCCGGATTCCTGTAAGGGCATCTACTTCCAGGGCACTTTCTGAACAGTTAGCATAGAGCCAGGCTTGGTTGAGAAGAATACCTCACCGAACGTCATCCTGGAACGTTTCCCTCAAAGACTCCATCCTGGATAGAATTTGATTGGTACGCGCAAGCAATATCTCCCCAATTACATCGTTGACCTCCGGGAAAGCTTCGAGTTCCGTAGCTAGCAGGCAAGCAATCAGCAAACGTCATTCGTAAAAATGAAAACTGCTGAGGCCCTTACAGAGTAGTTCCATGGCCGCATCCATCTCATCCTCAAGATTTTCAACATCTGTATTGAGTCTACCCTGGATTGACGAGAGCATCTGCTTCCATTGCGGAGTCAAATCTCTGGCCATCTTGGTAATGATGTCCTGATTCCAATCATGAGGCCCTATGGCGGGAGTGCAATAATTCCCGTAGTTACGGCAAAAAGCACTGTAAGTCTCTGATTATTCAATCAGCGGACAGCCAAGGCATTGCGACAGAACCTAGACTCACGATGCGCCCACTACAATCATTATCAGTTAGAATACTTCACAGACTGGCTCAGTCTACTCACACCCTACCATTCTCGCGTTGCGTTTACGGCTGTTCTTCTCCATCGATCTGTTCGTTGATCTAGATAGCTCCAATAAGCCCCTTAGACCGGGATGATGAGGAGACTAAAGTGACCCTACCATCGTACACCTGGTTCTAGAAATGCTCTCTGGTTGCTCTACCCACACGTCTGAGATCTGAGCCGCGGCCTGTCAAGTTCTACTAATCAATCAGTAAAACACGAGCCAGCGATGTCGGCCTTTTAGCTTACCTCTCTCAGCTGACGCTCTATCTTGTCCAGAGTTCTGCGAACAGCCGATTTCTGTTCCGCATTGGCACTTCCGGCTCCAGACTCAACCCATAATCCGGCCTCTCCGAGCAAAGCAGGGATGTCATTGGTGACAAATTTGGTGGCAAGTCTCAACTGACTATCCGCGATGATGGAGAGACAGTGCTTCCGCAGAGCAATAATTCCGCTCAGCTGCAAAGAGGGGATTGCCTCGTCTTTCGGTGACGTGGCCTTGGACCAGTACTCCGTGTTGCTGATGCAGAAAACATGAACAATCCCACCCCGGACCTTGTCTCGATAGCTGGCTTGAAGTTTCTTCCTAACCTCTGCGTTTCGAGTCTCGACCAAGAAGGTTTTGAGACTAAGTTCGACAGGTTAGCGAAAACAACGACTCGCTGCCGTCCTGGTAATCTACTTACTCATGGAGTTTCTGTTCCCAAATTTTCCTGAAGCCATATCATCAGCAATCTGGATCGCATTAGGTAGGGAAGTCGTACTCTTCCTTTCTTAAGTCCCGATGGAGATCATACATCTCGTCCTCCTCTTCTTTTGTGAGATCTTCATCATCGTACTCGTCCAACAAACGCTTGATTCCATCAATTTGGCCCCTGGCAGTCGCAACTTCGGCGCTCAGCTGCTGTATACGTTTCGCTCGCTGACCCTTCCAGTCGTTCTTTGCCTCCGACGCTTGAATATCCTGAGCATTCAGTATTAGCAACACTGAATCACGAATGGGTTTCAGCACAGCCTTACATCAGATCTAGTGCAGACGATTCCCACTTTACTCAGACCCGCTCTTCGCACAAGTTCAAAGACGCTCGCCACGCCTACATCTGTCGTTGCGCGGCCAATATTGCACAAAGCAAACACCTCGTCGCACTCGAGTAGGTATCGTTCTGTAATGCTTCTTCGCGCAGAGTTCAAGTCTCGAAGTCCTTGATCGGGGCATAAGTTATCCTATGTGTAATCACAATTCTGGTGGTGTACTTACCAGGAAGGTCTACGAGCACCAGTCCCTTGCTGAGTATGTGCGCGTCGAGAAATACCCTGTGACCTTTGAGCAAGGATCCCTCACCATCTCTTGTAGCAAAGAACCGCCTTACTTGATCTTTCGTACGAAGGGCCAGATTGCCGGGCCTTGTGACCCAGGCGCCTCGGATGTAAGTTGTATTAAGAAGTCTGAGCAGCTTTCTTTGGAGCTTCTGTTGTGAATTCCTCCGAGCTCTGGAACGCCATCCTCAAGCCAACGTCTGAAAGTCCACAACACAAAGCCTTCCGGCTCTGTTGTAAGGAAGGCTTCGTTTCCAAGTCGCCCTCGGAACAGGGCTCGAAAAGTGTCCCGAGCAACACCGGCGTGCTCCTTAGCCTCTTCTAGCCCATCTGCTACAGTCATCTCTTCTGCATGTAAGTGGAATCTGCGGTACGATTGCAATAGATGAGTGACTTGCTCCATTAAATCGTCTTGAGTAAACAGCTCCACGTCAACTTGGAAATCATCCCTCATATCGTAATGATACTCAGTGACAACACAAGTACAGGCCGCTCCACTATTGCTCTGTAAAACAATTAGTGAATATCTTAGCCTCTTTCCAGAATTGATGCTTACCGTTCTTGCCAGGCCCTCTTGATGTAGAAGAGAGTTCAATAGACTGCTTTTACCTGATGTGTGTTAGCTGCAGGCGGTGTTTTCCGTTAGATGGGCAATTTTTTACCGACACCAGAGTCGCCAACAAAGCCGACAGTACGAGTCGGGGGGCATTGAAACCGGGACAGATCTTTGGCCCGCTTATGCAGCCTCTTGATGGCGGAGTCCGGATCAACGTGGAGTGGGCTGCTTCCTAGAACCCGAGCCAATCGAGACATGAGCGTCTTCGCTTCTAAAAACGCGCTTTGCACGTCCGGATGGTGAAAGCGATCATGAGGCAGCTCTTCGTCTTTCACGTCGTGAGGAGCTTGATTTGTTCTTGACACCCTGCGTGATCGACGAGGCGGGCGTGGACTCAACGACGTTTGTCGAAGCCCGAGTACGGGGGAAGTTGCTTCTGGCTCTTGGTTTTCTGTCGTGACGGAGACAGACGGAAGAGCCTGTTGAAGTTCCGCCATTCCTAACTCTCCAGAGCCGCCATCGAGTGTAAGCTCATTCAGAAGAGGCCCGATTGCCTCAATCTCTGCAGTACTTCGTGTACGACTGGCCCTTGATGAACTGGGTTGACCATGAATGTGTCCACCATCGGTAGAAACAGTGGATGGAGTGACACTCGACACGGAAGGTGTTCTCGTATGACTGGTCGAGGACCTGGAAGCTGAGTCGAGCGCGATAGCCCTGCTTTGGGGCCGACCTGCCGGAGAAAACGAAGGTCCTCTCGTGGTATCCGGTGTCTTCCTGTGTTGGTTCGAGGGCGTTGACCCACGGAAAATGAACATGCCATCTCTTGCAGGAGTCGGTGACAGGTTCCGTTCGGTGTCGGATGACGATGCTGACGAATGGTCGGAGTTGGTTGGTCCAGGGCTTGAATTCCCCTCCTCATCTTCTGGGTCGAGGGAAGCAGGCGAGAAAGTTCGAGGTGTAAAGTTGGCTGAGGACGTTGAAGATGACTGAGTTGCCGCAGAACCAGCTGCGGGGTCCTCCTCAGAATGATAATATTCCTAGTTTGAAATTAGGCAGTGATTTTACTGAAACGATGGCTACACATACCGCGACCTTCATTGCTAATCGAACAGATGTTCCGATGGCTGTAAGAAATGGGAAAGGAGTTACACCAAGGTTTGGCGTCCATTTCTTAAGCAGGTGGTCCCCTTATGATTTTCTATCTGAACGCAGTCCTCACACGCCCATCCCCTCCACCAATCTCAACATTTTGCAGCGGCCGGATGTCTCAATTGGGGATCGTATGCCCGCCCGGCTATCTCATTTCCAGAGGGTTATTCCACTTCCAAGTACGTGTGGGTTGCATCGACAGCGGCCCGGAGGCGGCGCAGTCTCCTTGTTGGTTCCAAGTTCAGCCGTACGACAAGGGCCCTCGACCGCACCAACACCAACGACCAACAGAGTAAACGCGCGCCAATCCGAAGCCCATTGGACTTGATGGTCCCAGTCGTGACACACTGAGTCAGTTGCATGCATATCTAGCGGTTTCATTCTGAATATCGTCCGTCTACCGCAGTAAGAGAAGATTGCGTGAGTTTTACCACACAGAACGTTGATGGCATGGATGTCGATGATGAGGACAATAGGGTCGATGGAAAAGAACATAACAGGAACAATGATAGGGAAGACGACAGGTAAGATGACGAGAATGAGATGAAACGACATTTAATTGACTGAGAAGTACTCCGCCTAGTCAACAAAGCTCAAGCTAATGTATAGGCAGCGCTGCAAGCTTGCTGCCGACATATTCTGGCCATAGCAGCCAAGACTGTGACCAGTAATTCGACCAGCTCTCAAGCTCCTGTGCCCCCCAGCACCCGCTGCAGAAATACGACGTCACAGGACGCTGTCAAAGTTGAAACCGAATTGAAAATCTTGATCAAGACCTCCCTGCTCGCCAGAATGACCAACACTAGCCAACTCTGGCCACAGCGACCCGAAAAGGTAGCTCTCGAAGGACGTAAAGTCCGGTGTTCCGCCCTCGAGACCCGCCAGGTCAGAGAGGCTTGATGCAGGCATACGATCCTCGCATCCAGATATACCAACACTGTCGGCGCCAGAATGAGGGGGTTCCTGCAGGGCCGCCTTGGGGGATGTGTCAGCCACCGGCATTACCGATGAGATCTTGTCATGTTGAGCAGCGGCCACTCGTTTTGATCCTTTGGAGCTCCACAGCTTTCCCAAAAGATCGCTGTATCCATGACAGATGTGCGACTCTGCCGACGAGACCTCCTTCAGAGCAGCGATGAACCGTCGAGCTAGACTTGCGACCTCTTCTTTCTGAGCGGTTCCCTGGATTGCGTCTGCGTCTAGAGCCTTATGCAAGAAGACAGAAGCATACAAGCCGTATCTAAGATCAACGATTAGCGGTGTTTTTGTTTGTCGCGCAAGGTGAACCTCAATGGGTCTTACAAGTGATACCGCGACGGTAGATACCGAAGCGTATGCTTCGGGTCCTGTTCGTTCATGATAACTAGCAAACTCCTCGCGGCGCGCGTCGCTCCATTTATGTACCTCGCATCTGGAGATGACATGATACCCTCAGGGAAGAACGAAGTAAGACATCGTATTGAAGCATTTCTTTGCTCTTCTGATGCTCTAGGTCTCAATTTCCGCGTCATGACGGCATGGAACGAGAAGGCATTGATGTACAAGCACACATACTCATACAGCAAGCGTAGAGCAGCCCTTAGATTTGGCGAAGTCTCGAGAACTTTCCATCGCGAATCCCAATGCGTTGCAGACTCCATGAAGTCGTCCAGGTATCGAGGATAATCTCCCTCATGAATCATAGATAGTGTCCTCTCAGTTGAAGAGTACAGAATTGCATGTGCGTTGTGCAAGATCTGGGTGAGTTCCAGATTAGCTTGCAAGGCCGAAGCATAGTCCTCGTCTGTTAGACCAGGCGCGGGATGGAGAGTCGGAAAGTCTTCGGCAGTGAAATTGGATGACAAAGAGGGACCACGGGACCAGAAGGATTGGCCAAGACGGACAGATATTTGTCGATCAGCGATGTAAGTGACTGCTGATGGTCAGTGATTTCTCTATAATCACCATGAGATGTATACGCACACATCCATATCACCCGATTCTGGTCCATATTCTGAGAGGTGCTGCTGCCGTTACCCCTGAAAGCGGCTCGATCCAGGCGAAGAGCGTATCCCAGTCTCACAGCTTGGCCGACTAGAGACCAGGTTGTTCTCCCCTCCCCAAAAATGTCCTTTGGGTTACCTGAGGTCAAATGTTTGCTCTCAACGTGAGGCAGCCATTCAGATAGCAGTAAGAGGCCTTCGACTGTTCGTGGAGTCTGTGTCCAAGGAACAGCTAGAAGAACCTGAAGCAGCAGACTCTGAGCGTGATTCCAGCAATAGCGATGAACAACCGAGTGCTGGGTGGAGTCTCTGGATGCGATGGTGAGGATGACCGTCAGGAGGAAGAAGTCAACCCTGCGAATGCGTTCCAAAGCTGACGGCCCGAGTAAATGAGGCGGTACCAAGGGGCAGTAGGGGTGGTATTCTCGTGCATATCTTTCGAGTCAGCAGGTCACGGATGACGCCATATCTCTGAACTTACATTGTGAGAAGCTCGAGGACATTGTCAGAATGAATGACGCCAATTTGTGTCAACTCGTACTCATCCAGAATGGACCTCCGTTCCCCCAAAGAGCCATTTCTTGGTTTCGCAACATGGCGACCCTTACCTCCCGCTGAGTCTGCTTCAGACCCAACTGGTCCAGGTGCCGCATCCTCAGGGTCAAGAACGTACTGGTGGCCTCCCCGGGGACGATTCCCCCCCGACGTAGCAGGATCAGATCGCGTCAGGATATGCAGTGCATCAGACGGATTCCTCAGTCCCATCTCAGTGTTCTCGTCTACTTCATGCATATCCTCATCACTAGCTTCTTCTCCCTCTTGCCCTCTCTGAATCAATCCATCATCATTAACCGCTGACGACGCAAGTCTTGGCGATGGGTTCGGAGTTTCGGCCTGTTGAATTGAGGCACCATCGGCACGCTCAACTGCATACTTCCGAGACCTTCCACGATCCGGTATGATACATTTACTTCCGGAGTAGTAACATGCTACACATGGAGGCTTCATGGGCTCTCCCACCCCTTCACTAAGATTTGGGTTAGCAGCGCTCAATTCACGAGTCACACCACACAGCTCCTACAAGTTGCATTTTGACTTGCGACTACGGCATCTGACGCAAGCCCGGTAAGATCTTCTCCCCGTCCCCAGTGTCATTTTTGATATGCTCTCAAATTTTCAGATTAAGGCCTTGTGTGATGATTCTACCCAGCTCAGAATTTGTATGTCGCCGGTCCGAGTCGGTAATAAGTAGTGGGGTCCAAGCACGTCCGTCGGCAACGGGCGGCAAGGGACGGCAGCGGGCGGATGCGGACGGTCGCGGGCCGCAGCGATAAAGACATCAAAGACACAAGAGATCGTATCATTCTTACATCGTGAAAGCTATCATGCCAAGTAGTCAAACTCAAAGATCCACAGGCCCTTCACGGCAACCCCTGCCTCACATCAGTATGCTCGTTTAGTCCCCAAGCCTGGCTACTGTCATCATGCACAGTCGCCCGCCTCATGTCCCTCCTGTACTTGTAAGCGAACTCCCCTCCCACTGCGCGGTGCATCGTCGCTGTGTTATCCCAAATAACTAGGTCTCCTACATCCTTCCACTCCACCATGACACGGTACTTGTCCTGCGTCGCATGCTCAAAAAGCTTCTCGAACAGCTCCTTTGACTCCCTCGTCCCGAGGCCTTCGATATGATGAATATGCATCGCAAGATACAAGTTCATCCGGCCGGACCTCTCATGCTTCTGTACGAGTCTATGCCGTCCCATCGGATAATCTGCCGGTTCGAAGTTGGCGAAATGCTCCGGCGCAGCCAACTTCTTCGAATGCAGGATCGAATGACACGCAACATAGTTCTTCTCTAGAAGCTCCTTCTTGAAGTCAGCATCGAGGTCATCCCACGCCGCCCTGGTATCGCAGAACTCCGTGTTTCCCCCCACACCCGGCGGCGGGAGCTCATGCGACAGGAGAAGCGAGTACCCTGCCCTTCGCGGGTTGAAGCTCGAGTCCACATGGAAGAAGGAATTTCCTCGATTAGCTTGCGCCCGCGGACTCGCAGGGTCAACAAGCGAGCCGTCGGCTTCCATGTTGCCTACATCGAACAGCTCGTCGTACTTGAGCCGGTTGGCGCGACCGGCCTTGTTGTATGGCTTGACGTCGTCGAGCTCGCCGAACATGCGGGCAAGCGCGATGTGGGTTTCGTCGGTCAGTCCAGTCTTGCGGACGACGACGACGCCGTACTATATGATGCTAAGCCATAGCAGACAACTATTAGACAACATGCAAGTGTACCTTGATGACGAGATCTTGGATGAGCTTGAAGTTCTCCTCCGTGACGCGCGGCGCAAACTGGAGCCCTTGGACTTCCACTCCGAAGCCTGGACTAAGCTCCCGGATTTGGGGGGAGTCGAGGGTGGCGGTGGTCGTCTGCGTGGATGTAGTCGACATGGTGTTTTATTTCAGTTGACGAAGTGATATATGAAGAGGGGAAATCGTCGAACAATGCGCTTTTTGGAGACGCTGCTTACTGCACTGGCGATGGAGTTTGGCTGGGGAATCGGAGACGTTTATATAGACGAGCAAACCATCTGGATAGTTTATCTTATTGGAATTGGAACACCAAGTAGCCAAAAGGCCGATGGCAAGAAGCCCGTCCCTTGCCGCGGGATTGGACGGTTTACCTACACAGTGATACCGTCATCGGGAACACAGTACAGACAGTGAAGGCGGGGGAACTGGCTTATATGCATGTATCCAATGAACATGCGGGCAGGCAAGACCGCCTTATGTTCCTGTGCTTGTTCGGCTATGATTCCTGTGTTGCTACTATGAAGAACGGCGACCGTAGGGATAACGGTAACGACGATACCGACAACGAAGAAGACGACAACGACAGTGAGACTGACGACAACAGTAAGACTGATGACAACAGCCTCACCGTAGAATGCTAAGCAGAAGTTTCCTGACTAGACAGCTCGCCATTGCTAACAAACACGACCAAAACAGTGGCGTATCTGGCGCGATTCAACATCAGTATACTTGAGATTTGCGGGCATTATCATTTTCGTAGCATGGCTTGTACTTCACGGAAAGTTGTGAAGGAAATTGAACCTACGCAGCTGTGGCAGCGAATATCTCTGCTCGCTTGGCCGTCGTGATGAGGCCAATATTCGACGCCGTCGCCAGATATTTGTTTCTTTATTCAATACTTTGTCAGGTTCACTGTGATCGAAGATTGAAGGTTTTAATTGAGCGTACCTCGGTTACCCAGTGACGTTGTAGAAATCTGGACAAGTAGTCTATTTCATTTGGATTCTTCAACGTAACTAGATTGGCCTGGTCTTTTAGAAATGATTTTGCCTTGCCACCTAAAATGTGATGAGGCTTTTCGAAGATATGTCGCACGGCGGCTAGTGGGCGATCTTCAGGAGGCTTTAATTGCGCGATTTGGCTTTGTAACAGTAGCATTTCATCTATAAAGGGAACTCAGTAACTTGCAACTAGCTACTTGGAAAAGGGGCTTTTCTAATTACGGTATTCGCGAAGCCTTTCGCGTAGTTCTCTTATGAGATCCATTCTTGCTTTGGCATCCTGTCGGAAGCTCGTTGCGCCCGCTCGGGACTGCTCAATGAGCGTCTCCCACGTGCTCGCGGCATCTCTTAAATCCATATCGTCGCTCTGTACGGTAATTAAATGCATATGCTCGAGACGCTTTTCCAACTCGAGAATCTCGCTCTGCATGTAGAGCAGGTTTGCGGCAGACAACGTATCGAACTTTCGGAAAATAAGGGTTTCATTGTCGACATCTCGCGCCAACCATGAGGCTGCGGTCAGGTAGCCGCTGTGCCTCTCGAATTCTTCGCCGTTGCGCATCGTTGACTTGTGGAGGTTCTGATCTGACTGAGACCTATTCAACATGAAAGGGCAAGAAATCGTACCAGCACAGTTTGAGCTGACATGCGTCATGCCGCTTACAAAAGAGAAAGTTTTGCGAATACGTCCAGCAGCTACAAGGCTTGTGGTAAGAGAGCCAATCGTATTTCTGAGGCTTACACCGAGATATGCAGTCAGCACGCCTTAGTAAGTGGTCGGTCTGCCTTGGCCGTTGCCTAAAAGCCCAACATGCATCGTTAGATCACTTAGGCTTCAACTTCTTCCTCCATACCCACCACAAAGAGGTTCCGCGACTTGTTGCACACATTTACTTCAGCTGACACGAATTTATCCTAGCCGTTCGGAACAAAGGTTACAGTCGTAGAGAGTTATTTTGTTCATTTTTGTACTCGCTACAACATTATTACTCGGGAGCCACCCCACGACAACACAATAGCTCTACCAGCTTTGGCTGCACATCTCTCTCCAACTACGATATTCTATGTGGCGCAGGTATCGCCCTCACCATGACGGATCGAAGAGAGGTCTCAGCATTACACTTGGGCGGGCTAGAAGGGAAGGGCTGCCCGGGTGGGATGTCCCAAAGAACGGATATCCCTCCATTGATATGGACCGTGAAGACTACAAGACGAATTGCATTTCAACACGGCGAATGCGGCAGACAGATGACACCAATGGAAAAGTGCTAGTCCACCTGTCCATGAACCTCAGGAAAAGGATTTATTGTACAATCGACATGGACCAAGTAAGTTTGGCGACAGCGGCAAAGCTGGTACTACTCGAAGATCTGGCGTATTGGAAGAAACGGTTCCGCAATTCTCGGCAGAGCTTATTACTCGGAGACTTGAAGTCTAGGCAGAAACATCAAAAATGGCTCCAGACCATTGATTTTCTCCAATCTTCAGTCGCCAGAGAGAGCACTTTGCCGACTCCCAATCTGTCTTGTGGGCAAGATGTACCGATGCAACGGGGTGTGACACTTGAAGTGGACGGCACCCTTAACGAGACGGCGGTAGTGGCAGTTCCAGACACAGGATCATGCTTCAATTTGATATCCGAGAGGAAAGCGACGTCAATGGGTTTGATACCCATAACTGGCACACAGGGCCAGATGACTCTGCCCAGCGGAAGCAAGGTGATGTCGCCCGGCCAGGTCCAGTTGGCCTTCAGCTTCGACGGTGAAAACGAAAAGCACCACCTCCTTTGCAGTATCTTGCCCGGGGCAACTCGGGACCTGGTCTTGGGCAGCGTATTTCTCAAAGCCACCAGAACGATGACGGACTACGCTCACAGAATCAAGAAAGTGTTCTACCGCCTAGCACAGCCATCGCTAAACCTTATTGGCGCTGAACAGGACGTTCTTGGCGGCTACATCAACGGCAGCGAATGTCTCGCAGTGCCGGACACAGGGTCCGACGTCATGGCCATATCACTCAAACATGCCCGAAGGTTGGGCCTAAAGGTCCATCGAAGAGTGCGCCACCGTACATTGGTTGAGTTTCTCGACGGGTCACGGGTACGCACAAAGGGTATCGCTCAAGCAGAATGGCAATCCGCCTATGGCGAATCACCAATCCGCTGTGATTTCCACGTCATCAAGGGTTTGCCTGTCGATGCAATCCTGAACAACACCATGCTGGACGAGTATGACGTATTTAGACAATACGAGGAGCGTTTCGGATCGTCAGAGAGCCTCCAATCCACCACAAGTTACGGCATCTACGGCATCTCCCTTGTAGAGGTATGCGAACAGAAGATTCGCTGTCTTTCGGACAGCTACTCGGACGACAGTAAGTTCCTCCGGTGTGTCTACATAGTATGTTAAACCGGAAACTCACGTTTGTCTTTCAGTTAAGTCAGACAACCCTTTCACACCCGAGAAAGTCGAGCGCGAGCGCGCGCGCCGAGACGAGATACGCGACACTATCTCCCAAATCCCTGACGAAGTACTTCGAGCAACGAAGCAACACCAAGAGTACTTACGAAAAAGGATATGGGACGAACTCAGAAAGCCCCATCTTGAGGCAAACGTCAGCACTGGAACAGCGCAAGATAAACACTCGATAGCTAGCCACAGGAATCGTGGTAGTCGGGATAATTATTTTGTTCCCGAGGCAATACAGTCGAATAATATAGGTGCAAGACAGCTCGAAGAAGGTCTGACGGTGGACGATAGTCACAGCTCTCAGGCGACGCAACGCAAGCGGACAGGACTTAAAGCCCTCAGAAGACTTTTCCGTTAGCTTTTTAGAGGAAGAGCTTTTTAGAGGAAGAAAAACTGCAACTGCTGCACTACAATCATACATACACGGAGCGTCGCGTTGACTTTAGGAGTGGTCATGAGTTAAAAAGGCAGAAGACATCACCTTTGGGTCATGGCGTCAAGAGCTACTAGATTTATTTTGAAGTGGGTGGCGGTACTCTTTCAGTCTTTGGAGAAGAAAATCTTCTAGCAGGCGTTTAGACATTATTTTTCCATCAATTCAGAAAGTCAGACACACAACGTAACCGTACTTGTTACCAACCAAGACTGATTCCCTCCCCATGCTTTCACCCCGTAGTTAACCATCAACTATCCAGTACAACACCCTCTGGATAACATCACAAATGCACATGTCTGTGACGTTCACGTATCATGTCCCCAAGTCATCACGCCTTTGACACGTCACCATCCCGCCTCCAGTAACGTTCTATTCTCACGTAGATCAAAGACCGTCTCGAACTGCACCTACACTATCAGTTCCCCAGCTGACAAGAGGCTCCTACAGACAGAATTGACAGTTGCTGGCTACGAAATCGATTCTTTCCTGTCTAGCACACACTTTGTATACTAGTCCATTTTTGCAGCCTACTTTCGCTCATCTCATTACTCTTCCAGAGGTTGACCTGATCCAGCTTCTCTGGCTGTGATAGCCCTTCTGTCAATGGCTTTCCACTGCAGTTACACATCCCTTCTAGCGTTTTCCTGAACTTTTCCCATCTGCCCTGCTTCTGTGTCTAGTTTCAAGCCTAAAACAGCAGACCGGTCTTGATTAGAAGCTCCAGCAGGCTGTATGACCACGAGAACAGAAGGTCAGCAAAATCGGCGGCGAGGACGACAGAGAGGACGATAGAGACGATAACGAGGTGGGTCAAAACGAGGGCAACATCAAGAATCATGAATGAGACTCAAAGGAAAACAAGCATGACTTATCTCTAGTTCCTACTTACCAGGCATCAATGTGAAGCATGAAAACAGCGAAGACGGGAGGAATTCTTACTTTTCGAGACACCATAATAGTAAAGTAACTTCCCTCCCTTTAGCTATCAGCAAATCGCATGCTCCTAGGTTCTTCTGAATTACAGTAACATGTCGCAGTCTATCTCCGCAAATTCTTTTCATCTGCTCAGTGCACATGTATTGAACTACATACGGGACGTGTCTAAAGCCATAAAGATTACGGATGCACTCCATCCCTTCCCGTCCCCAACACCCTCCAAACCTCGCCTCACTCATATTGAACTAAAGATCTCTCAACCAGCATCTGCACCCTCACCCTCCTAGACCTTCTACATCTTCCTGAACCTCCACACTCACAGCCCAAGTCACGAACTCCAAACCATAATCTACCTCCCCATATCCAAAATCACATTCAAATCCCATTAGGTCTCATCCCCAGGAACTATCAACCGTCCGCAGGACGTAGTTCATCTCAGGCCGAACACCGCTTCTGCCTTGCTTGCCCCATCCACGCAACCAACATTCCGCTCTCGTCCCGGTGCGCTGAACACTCATCCATCACCACATAAAACATCACAATCAAAGCATTTTCCTTATCTCTAAGCAATCTATCACCACATCTACCCTGGGCAGGACCCAAGATATCAGGCTTACTCTCTCCAACCTCACAAAGCAATCTCCTTTCTACCATAGCACCACAGCCACAACCTCACCTTCTAGAACACCGTCTCCCATGAGACCAACACCTTCCACAGCGCACCTATCCATCCTCATCACGCCGTGTCACATAGCACAAGGCACACATCATCTTCACTTAAACTGTCGAGGCGACTTTCACTGTCTAAAGGTAATAATACATCCCACGCCTCGTACACCCAAAACCTCGCCTTCAACGTCAACCTCAAATAAGATCCCATCCGTCGAGGCGTCAAAAACGAACCTCTAAAGACAAACGTCTAGGGCGAAAACAACCGCCAAAACCCGAGGCCTCGGAAAGATAATAATGAGAGAATACACACAAAGAAGCTTTTGTAATAAAGTCTAAAACAGTCAAGACGCAGCAAGCTTTCGGCCGCGGCGACTGTTCGTCTCTTGATGCAAATCCGCATAGTAAACCCCGCCCCTCCGACGCCAGGCATGTGTGCGCCCAGCATAGTAGTTTCCGTCCGATTTCATATTGCTACAAATCCACAAATCCCTTCCCGTATTCTTGCTGTCTCTTGCAACAAGCGAATGTTCCGTCTCTCTATCGTGTCAGGTGGTGTCTCAGACCTGGCCGTCCGCGACGGCGAGTCGTTGCTTCAAGGTCTTGGCCTTCTTGCCGCCCACGCGCCGCTTCTTCGCTCCCTTGACGTCGGGCTCTGCCACGGGCGTGGCCGTACCTGAAGTGCCGTTGGCTGCATTGCGATCGTCGAAGTTGCCCTCGCCTGGAAGTGTGTTAGCATGTTGAGGATCAGGGGAAAAGAGATAAAACTCACCCTCGTGGTACATCTCGTCCAAACTAAGGTTCTCGTTGACCACTCGCTTGCGCTTGCCACCCTTCTTCTTCTGCGGCTTATCGAGCTCGCCGCTCTCGAGGAGCTCTCTCTCGCGACGCTCAATCATCTCAGCCTGGTCGTCGTCCGCAAGCCACATGGCAATATCACGGTTGCGGTTCTCAGGAGCGCGACGACCAGAGAAATCGACAGAAGCGCCGCCACCCGTGATGACGACACGCTGCACCTCCTCCTTCTGCATAGCACGCTTGCGGATACGTTCTTCGATGGTGCCGCGGGTGATGAGACGGTACACCGTAACCTGGCGAGTCTGACCCAGTCTGTGTGCTCTGTCCATGGCCTGCGAGTCGATTGTAGGGTTCCAATCGGAGTCGTAGAAGATGACGGTGTCAGCAGACGTCAAGTTGATACCGAGACCACCGGCACGGGTGGACAGCAGGAAGATGAAGATCTCGGGGCGAGTCTGGAAGTCGGCAACCGTGTCTCTTCTGTCCTCGAGCTTGGTGGAACCGTCGAGACGACAGTACTTGTAGTTTCGGTAGGTCAGATACTCCTCCATGAGATCAATCATGCGAGTCATCTGGAAGTAGAGCAGCACGCGATGTCCCTCAGCCTTAAGCTTAGTAAGTAGCCTGTCGAGCACCGCGAGCTTGCCACTGTCCGTGACGAAGCGACGCATGGATGGCACGGCGATGTTGGTGAACTTTCTCTTCTCGCTGTCGGGGGCAGGCAACAACTTGTGGGGCGGGAATCGCTCAATCGGAATCTTCTCCGTGACCATCGCCCGCTCTTCGTGGATGGTAGGGCCGAACAAGCTCTTGCGCATGGGCATATTGAACATGATGTTCTCCCGCTCAATGTCGGCGCCACGGCTGCAGCAGCTGACCTCAATAGGGGGCGCTGAGGCGCGAGGACGACCAGCTTGCTCCAGACGACCCAATCCACTCTCAGAGTACTCGCTGCGGGCGACATTCATCAGATTCGCCAGGATACCCTCCTCGGTGATGTCGACCAAAGGCTGCCTGTTCCTGCGCTCCTTGATCTGGAACAGTGCATGAGCAGGCGTGAAGTTGATGTCCTCAGGCTCGTCGTAGGCAACGTTCATGTGGCCCAAACGATTCTTCTTCTGGGACAGCTCGACTGCGCGAGTGAAGATGTCCTGATGGCTGGCCTTGTATACCTCGTTCGGGCTAGTGTCGGCAAAGCGCAGGAATGAAAAGTTGTCAGAGCCCTCCATGCTGTCTTTGATGTGCTCCGGGGTGAAGATGTTCATCATGTGCTGCAGGTTCTTGTTTCGCCATCCCGCCTTGGGGTTGTTGATGTCGCTCTTGTTGACGCGGCCATCTCCTCTCCAGAGGAGCCGAGGCAAGTCGTACTCAATGGTGTTGCGCGTTGAGTAGCCCACATTGACCTCATTACCTTCTCTGATAAATGAAGCTGTCTCGGCGAAGTACCCAAAGGAGAACGGAGAGGTGGTGTCGGCTCTCTCAAACAGATCGGGGTGGTTGCAGACCTTTCGGAACTGCATGACGAGGTTCATGAGAGTGCCGGAATCGTCGCTGTCGCCTGCAGTAGCCTTCTCGATAAGATCCATGATGCTGATCTGGTTCCGAAGGTTGCTGTAGATGGCTCTCTGTCTGTAGGTGAGGTCGCAGTAGACGTCTTCCTCAATCTTGTCTCCGAGCTCCTTCTGGACATGCTTCTTGACACGACGCAACATGAATGGCTTTAAAATCATGTGCAGACGCTTGAGCTGGTCCTCGTTGAGCTTGGTGTTACTCTGAGCGTGCGACTCGATGTCCTTGGAGAACCATTCGCTGAACTCGTCGTGAGAGTCGAAGAGTGACGGCATGATGAAATGGAGCAAAGCCCACAGTTCCTGCATGTTGTTCTGGATGGGAGTACCGGTGAGCAGGAGACGGTTTCGGCAGTGGAAGCCCAGCAAGCTCTTCCATCTGGAACTCTGAGAACTCTTGATGGCTTGGGCCTCGTCGAGAATCATGTACTGCCACTTCATCTTCTGGAAGTACGCAACATCAGACACGACAAGCTGGTACGACGTCACGCAGACGTGGAAGGATGCCTCCTTCTTGTACGTCGAGTGCTTACGATCCCAGAACTTTCGAAGCACCTTTCTGTCGCCAGCAGAACCCCAGTACGGGAGAATCTTAAACTCCGGCACGAACTTGCGGATTTCCTGCTCCCAGTTGTGAAGGGTGGAGGCGGGTGCGACAACGAGGAACGGACCCCAGATGTCGTACTTTTCGGCGAGGTAGGCCATGACGGAAATGGACTGAACAGTCTTTCCGAGACCCATCTCGTCTGCAAGAATACCATTGATGCCCTGCTCGTACAGGTTGGCGAGCCAGTTGAGACCCTTGAGCTGGTACTCCTTGAGCTGGGCGTTGATGAGCTTGGGCTGCTCGATCTCGACGTCGCCCATACCGGCGGGGTTCTGGAAGTTCATCTCGCCCTCCTCGTCCATGTCGGGACCCTGGGGCTCGTTGAACTCTCTGGCCTTTCTCTGCGCCTCTGCAATGGCGTTCTGAGCGTTGGCCATGGCAGCCGCGCGCAGGTTCTCCTCGCTCTCCTCGTCAAAGTCGAGGTTCTCGAAGTTGGTGACCTTGGCGCCCAGAGGTCCGGTCGGCTCGTCAACGTCCATCTTGTTCTCATCGGTCGCGGCCTTCTTCTCGCCGGCGGCAACCTCGGGGTTATCGGTGCTGCGCTCGACTTCGTCCGTCTTGATCTTCTTGCCGATGAAATGGGAGTAGAGCTCGGTCTGAGAGATAAGGAAGTTGAGCTTCCTCTTTTGACGGGCGGCTTCGCGCTCTGCTTCTTCCTTGCGGGCGTTTTCAATCTCCTGCTTCTCAGCAGCCTTCCTGAGATCACGCTCCTCACGCTCGTTGCGCTTCCAGAAGCCCATCATGTCACGCATGACACGCTTGGCGCGAGCCTGCTGGTCCTTGGTGCCCTTGTTCGTGCGCAGCTGCCACCTCTTGGCCTCCTTGGAAGCGAGAATGGCAGTCTTCTTGAGGTTCGAAGCCTTGGTCTGGTAAGACTCCGCCGCGAGCTTGTAGGTCTTGGTGACATCTTTGCGGGCCAGGTCGCGCCAAATCTGGTCATAGATCTGAAGGAAGCCCTTGGTCTCGAACTTGGCGTCCTTGTTGGGTGGCTCCTCGGGCTTGTCTTCCTTCTTCTCCTTCTTCTTCTTTTCCTTCTTGCCCTTCTTCTCCTCGACGGGTTCGACAATGGTTTCTTCGTCGCCGTCGAGTTCGCCGTCGGGCATCTCGATGTCGGCCTCGTCCAGATCCTTGTCCTTGTTCTTCTCCTTATCCTTATCCTTGGACTTCTTGTTGAACTTGATGCGGATCTTGCCCTCTTCCTTGGCAGGCAGCTCCTCGCCGGCGTCGATGGCAGCCTGTGCGGCCTCAGCAGAATCCTTCTCGGCCTGCTTCTGCTCCTTGGACTTCTTCGGCCTGGGCCCGCTGCGGCCCTTGCCCTTCGGCTTCGTGCCAGGCTCCATGTCGGATGCTTGGAAGGTGGCCATCGTACCGCCCTCGAGGTTGAGCTCCACAAGGTTACGAGCGGGTCCCTTGATGCCCTTCTGCAGAATGAGTTTTGTCTGCTGCGCCTTCTTGTTCGCACGCTCGGCATCCCTCAGGTGCTTTTGCTTCTCGGTCTCGTCTTCAGCAAGGCGGGCGCGTTCGAGGGCAAGCTTCTGCTGCTCCATAGTGACGGCCATGGATTTCTCGCGGCGTCGCTTTCGCTGCATGTCCTTCTTGCGCTCCTTCTCGGCAAACAGCTCCCGTTCCCTGACTTCGTTCATGGCCTCCTCGTAGTAAATGTCATCGTAGCGGCGCTTACCAAGATCGGCATGGACAGTCAGCCGACGGGTCATATCCGTGGCGAACTCTTCGCGTCGCTGGTCACCCTGGGCGCTGTCATTTGTCTGCATAAGTCTGCGGCGCTTGTTGCCGCGCTGCTGGAACTGTGCATGCTCCTCGGCAAAATCAGCATCGTCAAGGTCGTCGGCTTCCGCGTCAAGCTGGGCAATCAGAGCCTGCACCTTCTTCTCCTTCTCTGCGGACAACGTCTTCTGCTTGGGCTGGCCGTTGGCTTGACGCTTAGCAGGGACGCGAGGCGTCGGGGTCTCCAGCTTGGAGGACGACCGACGGCTGGTCTTGGGTGTAGACTCGGCATCTCTGATATCGGAAGCCCTTGACTTTGACTTTCTAGGTACTCTCTCCTTCTTCTCCCTGCGGGCGAGCGGCGTGCTGGATCGCTCCTTAGGCTCGGGACGGAGCTCGATCTCGGCTTCGCGCTCGGTTTTGACGGGCGGGTCGACCGAGCGAGGCTTCTCACGGTCGGGCTTCGGGTCGGACTTGACCACCTCCTTCTCCTTTTCCTTTTCCTTTTCCTTTTCTTTGTCTTTTTGCTCGACGGGCGGGGGCGATTTAGACTTTGGCTTGGAGGTGGGTTCGGAGCTCGAGAGGATGTTGGAGAAGGACATGGGGTCGGCGGAGCGGCTAGGAGTCTGCGACAGTTAGAACGCGACCGTGTCAAGCGTGTCAATTGATAAGAAGCTTACGCTGGCGGGAGCTGGTGCTTTCAAGGGAGAAGGCTCGGGCTTGCCGAGAGGCGGCAGGGACGTGACGGGGCCGCCATTTGAGGAAGAAGCGTGCACGCTGGGGGAGGCAGCGTGCCGCAGGCTGGGGGACGTCATGTGCTGCGTGGCCCTGTTTGACGGGCTGATGGAACCGGCAGGCGGTTGATGGGACTGGTGATGGGAATGGGTGGTTGATCGCGGACTCCTCGGGGGGAAGTTTGCGGCTGATGGAGACGTGTAGCCTGCACCGTTCTTGTAGTAGGGGTGGGAGTCGCGAGAGGCCGGCTCGGTTTGCGAGTAATTACCGTAAGGATCGCGGGTCTGCGTGGTGGTGAAGAGAAAAAATTGATTAGTCGGGTGGTGGGTGATTCAAGGGAAGTTGGAAGACGCAGTGTGCAGGATGGCAAAAGGCCACGATGGATTGGTTTGATTAGGGAGGAAGAGAAATAGAATTTTGGGTTGAGTCCTGGGCTGGACCAGTTTGGGTTGGGTTGGGAATTTTCATTCGGGTAAAGTTGGAGATGGGCGACGGGCTGCGAAGGGGGCACCGCACACGCTCCTCCTCCCGTGTTGCTGGTGGTGGACGTGTAGTGTAGTGCAGCACTGCTGGTACTGGTCTGAGGTCTGCCCGGGTCCAGTGATGATGGATGTGGTGAGGAGAGGAGAGGAGAGGTGGATTGGGTGAAGTGGTGACGGGAATGAACGACGAAGATCGGGGAAGCGAAGGGGGAGGCGGCGTCGTCCAGGTTCTTGGTGGTCCTGGTTCGCGGTCCCAGACGCAAGGTCCCAGCACTCTTCTCTCACACTGATGAGGTGGAAGGGATGGATCTGGCGACTTTGCTGCCGCTACCAAAAAAGGACTGACACGCCTGGAACACTGGACGGGTGCGTTGATCGGTGACGGCTGACGAGGCGACAGACAACCTACACGACTGGGGAATGGGGAGAGACGAACAGAGCGTCAGAGGGCAAGTGCACCACCTTTTCCCCAACAGCAGGTGCTACTTTTTCAAGGTGCAGCCCACGATAAGGGAAAAAAACGGGGGAGGGCGTGGTGTCATTGAAGCATTGAAGCAACCCGTGAACAATGAGGCATCCAAGCAATCCCTCTGCTGATGCTGATGCTGATGCTGATGCTGCTGATGCTCTCGCCTCCATGTCTCTACTGCTGGACTCCCGCGCCATCGTCTCCCAAGATCCGGATGGGGCAAAGACAGCAGAGATTACAAAGGCGTCAGCACCAGCACCAGCACCAACACCAACACCAACGACAGCACAGAGCAGCGCCGGTAGCATCAGCAAGCAGACAGCCACTGGACGATCAGCTGCACAGACGGCGGCACCACCACCAGCAAGCTGGATGTTTGCCGACCTGCAAATGTTGCCTTACAAAGAAAGAGTGATACATGATACGTGATATAGAGCCGCTGGTGCAAGTGACGAAGGACAAGGTGCTTTTAATACGGCAACAGCACGCGTGTCGCATTGCATCGCATCGCATCTCAGCGCAGCGCGACTACGGTTACGAACAAGGACGGGCAACCACAGCAAAACTGACAGGCAGACACAAATGAATTGAGCTCCTCTTACCTTGGACGGCGACGTCTTGGCCGCGCTGTTATGCCACGATCCCGCGTCCGAAACCCTCCTCTCTCTTGTGGTATCCGTCAGCGGGTCGTAGTAGCTGCTCGTGGCCGGCTTCTCGCGCGACGCATGCGACTCGGGCGGCGGGTAGTATCCGCTGGGGGGATGCAGCGGCGACAACGGAGGCGCCTGGTGATGCCCGGCTCCGGGGCTGCCGCTGCCTCCCAACGCCGGCAATGAGGGCGCAAGAGGCCCGCCGGCAGACGGCGTCGACGAGTAGAGGGGATTCGGATGCGACAGGCCGGACTGGAGGGATCGCGGGGAGTGGTGCGGGTGGGAGTGCGACGAGGCCTTGGGCGACGAGTAGGACGAGTGCTGCGGGTGATGGAACTCGGACTGGGTTGGTGATCGCAAGCTGAAGCCCGAATGGCGCGCGCCGCCGGGTGCTGGGTTCATGATATCGCGGTGGTGGCTGCGGCGGTCGCGGTCATCCCGTTCGTCGCGGTCGTCGTGGCGGGAAGGCGCTTGCAGCACCGTCGAGCGGAAGTCTTTGGAGGGCTCCATTGTGAAGGTGATGCGATGCGGCGATGGCACCTAGAACGAACTGCGCACGACGATGCGATGTGGGAGAAGGGAAGGGGAGGAAGGGGAGGGAAAGGGAAAGAGGGGGAGAATTACTGCTGCAACGAGGATCGCGGACCCATGTGCAGTTGGCGGGTGGTGGACAGCAGGATGGGATTACGCGTTGGGGGTTTCGACAAGGACGTGACCAGGCCAGGTGAGGCGGATCGCGAAAAAAAGGTACGTGGTGGTGTGGTGTTTGGTTGGCGTCGTCGCCGGTGCAGGGATGGCGGGCAGGCGATTGTTGCGCCGGTTCGGCGAGGTGAGGATGGGTGATGCTATTGCGAAGGTCGGGTTGAGGGAATTGGGAGGCTGCGAGATAATTGTACCCAGGCGCAGCAAGAAAGCGGGTGGCAATGAGGGTTGGAGTCGGTGTCGAGATCCAATGCGTGTGAAGTGGGCAACCTGGGCGTTGGTGTGCGTGTGTGCGGATCTCGGAGCTAAGGCGAGAAAGAGAGGCAGGTGCAGGTAAGGTACACTCGTGGTAAGGTGAGGTGAGGTACGGATACGCGCTGGGTGGGTGAGTCTGGGCCTCTGACGTTGGATTGGAGATTGGATTGATTGGAGCTGCCCAGCTTCAGCTTGGCTATCCGCGGGTGCACACTGCAATATCTATTGATGGACGTGCTGTGCTGCGATGGGGGGAATAAGCAGTGCTGGCGGTAAGATATCGACGGATTGTCAAGCTCAGCGACGGGATGCGCTATGGATTCGAGTGCCGTAGACCCTGCAAACTGCCCCGATGTAGTGATGGTGGAGGTGGTGGTGATGGTTGGTGATGACGATGGTGCAGCTCGATCACCAAGACCAAGTCAAGATGGTGGAAAAGAAAAGGAATGGGATGGAGGGGAAGAAAGTGGAAGTGGGAAGGAAGGGGATGGGGGGATGAGATGATGGGAACAGAACAGGAAACAACAGAAAGCGAGGGCGAGAGCGCGGATAACGGGGGAGGGAGATGACACTGATGGGATGGGTGGATTGGCCTTTCCTTGGACGTGGACTGGACGTCCAGTGTGAGTGTGGACGACTGCGCGACTGACTGACGACGGGAGTGTGTGGCCGAGGGCGACGACGAACCTCCCGCCTTGCGTGCGCCTCGCCTCGCCCTCGTCGATGCACCGCGATTGAACCTCGTTTTTTCCTTCCTTGTCTGTTGCAGCTGCCTCCCCAATCATGCGGTGTGTGCAGACACCTCTTTCCTGGGTAGGAACCTCAATTATTTCCTACCTCTTTCCTTGCATTATGGATAAGATACGTGGTGAGGAAGCAGCAGCTGCATAGCCAGCCTGTCCTTCCTTCCTCTCTTCTCACTCTCTCCTCTTCACGAAGCAGGTGCGACTGCTGCTCCTTCCTGCCTGTCAGTTCCCAGCTCCCGTGAGGATCCCGTCGCGATTCACCCATTTCTGGAAGGGACGTCTCTCCCACCACCCCCAGCTCCTCCTTCCTGCAGCTGCGGTTTTTGCTTGGCCCGGGACCTTCCCAGCTCTTTCCCAGCAGGCAGGACACTGGAGCCAGAACAGCAACCAGGCACCTCCCCACCCCACCACCCTGCTCCGTCAGGCTTAGCGTCCTGCCCTCCCGCCAATCCCGGCACACGTCTGAGCCTCTTGGGTTGCTTCGCGCCCCTTCACCTTCCCTGCCCCGGCCGGCCCAGTCCAGCCTACCGCCCACATCAGTCCAGACGGAACGTCTTGTACTTTCATGTCCTTCGTCACTGTTCTCATGCATGTGAACTACTTCCCGTATACAACATCTCCCTGAGGCATTTCAGCCGCCTCTCCCAGTTCCCCCAAACTCCTGACCGTCCATCTGCCATCGTCCCGTCCCTTCAGACAAATTCTCGACCGCCAATGCCCATGCCAACTCGCACATCACAAACCCCCAAAGCTTGCAGAAAACGTTGAGAGACCGTCACAGAATCAATTCGGACAAAACACACTCGATCATCACTTCCGCCACCGCAAGAGACCACTGACCCTCATCACCGCCCACACCCACACCGACCAAAAGTCCCGACTGCCCCGGAAAACCCGCTGGGAATGGCCTCAATCTCACCTCGCCCCCAGAAACCCTCCCCCCCGACCCAAGACCTCGGCAATCACAAAAACTCAAATCTCGCCATACGAGCACGTCGACGCTCCAAATTGACTCGTGATACGACAAAGTCGCAACACGTCTTGGCACTCATTTTTACCTTTTGATCCCCCTTCACCAACTTCGGATCCCAGCTTAAACCCCCCAAACCACACTATCTATTGATCCATTGATCCATCTTGTGCTGATGGCGATGGTTGCACGCACAGTGGACGACAACGCAACGCCCCCAAAAAACATGTTCCCAGCGCCAAACCTACAGCAAGTTCTGCAGTGAGGGGGCGCGACAAAATGACCGACCCAAAACCCACTCCACCAACAAAAAAAAAACAGAGACCCCCATCAACCAGATTCCCCAGCAGCTCATCTCACCTCCTGGGCCCCTTTTCCCTCGCATCAAAATTCACTTCCGACTCCCCGTTGATCACCCTCCCCCAGTCCCGTTCGTTCCCCGTCACGATGGTCATGGTCACCGCAAACCGCACCGCTCCCATTCCTCAGCAACCCGCGACCAACAACGTCAGGCACACCCCGGCCCAGAAACGCCATCCTTTCAGGGCGGTTGGTTCGGGGGGGGTGGGATCTTGGGGTGGGAGGACCCCTTGAGATCCGAAATCTGCGCTACTGGGAAATTGTTAGTGCATCAGTCCCTCTCCGCCCTGCACAACTCCATCGGCATCTTCACGCCGTCACACATCGCCCTACCCAACATCGTCAATCGCAAAGACATCTCGCCGCCGGCATTCCAACTATCCCAATCTCCAAGGTAATACGCAACACACACACATAATACCGAAACTAGTCGTCTCCTAAGTCTAACAGCAGACCCTTCCCCCACTCATCCCACGCCCACCGCTTCACTGGCGCACCTCCGCAACCGCGTTGGTAGTCTCCCCCGCAATCCCTGCCCGTCATCACCCGGGCCTCGTCTCCCCGTGAAATCACGTGCATCAAACCTCCTCCGCCTTGCATCTGCCCAAAATTTCGTCAGAACGCAGCGTCAGCAGGAAAAAAAGTTCTCCTCGGGGGGGGCGGAGACGCTGATGCCGACCACTGACTCACTGCTAAATCTCACAAGTTTGCCGCTGTAGCCATGTGTGCAAACATTTTACACGTCACCTCACAGATTTGACGTTTGGTTGAGGTTTCCCGTGTCGGCGCGTGTCGGATTTTAGCTTTCGTATCTCGCGCCTCCTAATAAACCCCCGTGATAGCTTCACCAAACGGACCAAATGCACTCTGACGACAAGAGCCTCGAAATCTCCATTCACAAGCAATGGCCAAAGGTTCCATAATTGCCAGTCCATTGAGATTCCCCACGTTGCGTTTGGAGCTTTCATGCCTGGGTACCTCCCCGTGAGTCTCATGGTGGCTTCACCGAATAGACAAAAACACCGTCATTATTAGAAAGGCCATGTAAGGGTCACACAATGTGCATTCGCAATCAATGGCCGAAGCCTCTATTGTCCTCGTCGTCTAAACAAGAACCCCAATGTCAAGAATAAAAGAAAAAAGTTCGCAACTGCAGATATCTGTCTATCCCATTTGCCAATGCAGAGGCGGCAGCCGCCCTTTTGGAAAGAAACGCGCGGTTTTGCCAATCTTTCACTTCCCTGCCCTCCGATTTCATCCGTGGCATCTTTCCGTGCTGTCCGCCTCATCTTCAATTCCCGTCTCCCTGGTTGCCCGGCCTGGGTCATGAGCGGCCGTGGCAGCGGCGGCACGCTTCAAATCAGAGGAGTAGTAGCAGTCATTTCAAGTCGTGAACCCCTACCCTCCTTTTGTTTTCCTTGTTCTACTATGCCTTTCATAAAAAACAAGAAACAGAAACCGCCCGCTTTGTGAGGAGGAAGAGAGAAGATTGGGGGGGAAATGCAGCACCCGGCCCCCTGAAACCTTCCGTTTTTTGGATGTCGTAAAAACCGTAGGAAACAATCTCTTCTTAGACAGCGCCGGCCGTGATCATCTTCTTGCGGAGGTAGTTCTTGTACTCGCCTATCGTGCCGTCCCAAGGCTTGATGGTCTTGTTCTCGCACACCAGAATCTGCTTGGCGATCTTGTCCAACAGTCTGTGACGGGGTTAGCATACTGTTCAGCAAAAGGGAAATGACTGTAAAAAACATACCTGAAATCGTGGGAAACGACGATGACACCACCGCTGAAGGCGTTGATAGCGTCGGCCAAAGAGTCAATGGTGGGGATATCCAGACCGTTGGTAGGCTCATCGAGCAGCAGCATGTTGGGGCTCTCGATGGCGAGCAGGGCGAAGACGATACGCGACTTCTGTCCGTCGGACAGGGTGCCGATCAGGGAGGTCTGGGCCTCACCGGTGAGACCGTAGCGGCCGAGCTGCTGACGCCAGTACTGATAATCCTGGGACTTTTCGGCATACTTCTCACGGACGAAGTCCAGCGCCGACTTGGTGAGGTCGAGCTGCTCCGCAGAGTGCTGGGAGTACAGGCCGAGCTTCAAGTGGGTGTGACGGGTAACGGAACCGTTGGTGGGGGAGAGCTTGCCGGTCATCAGGCGCAGCAGGGTGGACTTGCCGACACCGTTGGGGCCGACGAGGGCGGTACGGGAGTCCATGTCGAAACCGAGGTCGATGTTGCGGTACAGGTCGTCCTTGGCGTCGCCAGAGTAGGAGAAGGTGACGTTGTCGAAGGACAGGACGGGAGGGGGCAGCTTCTCGACGTCGGCGAAACGGAAGGTGAAGACCTTGTCGGGGATGACGGGCTGGATGAAGCCGTCAGCCTCCATCTTGTCGAGAATCTTCTGACGGGACTTGGCCTGACGGACCAAGTTGGCGTAGGTACCGGCGGAGGCGATGAACTTCTTGATGTGGACGATTTCGTCCTGCTGCTTCTGGTAGGCCTTCATCTGGTTGGTCTCCTGCTCGGATCTCGTCTTGCTGTACGAGTCGTAGTTACCTCCGTAGTAGAGGAGCTGCTTCATGCGCATGTCAAGCATGGTGGTGCAAACACCGTTGAGGAAGTCCATGGAGTGGGAAACCAGGATGAGCGTACGCTCCCACTTCTTGAGGTACTCCTCGAGCCACACGCAAGCCTCGAGATCCAAATGGGCAGTGGGGTCGTCGAGCAACAGCAGGGAGGGCTTGACGAAGAGGGCCTTGGCGAGGGCGACACGCATTCTCCAACCACCAGACATGTCCTTGGTCTTCTTGTGGATGGTGGTCTTGTTGAAACCCAGACCGGTCAAAATGAGGGAGGCACGGGTAGCGAACGTGGAGGGGTCCATCTTGTCCATGTGCTGCGAGATTGTTAGCTGGCGGTCATTCGTCGTTCTCGAGTAGAGTATCACATACCTCGTACAGGTCCATGAGGACGGGGTCCTCGGGGCCGCTCTCCTCCAGAATCTGCTCAGCCTTCTTGTCCAGGCGCTCCATCTCACGCTCGGCCTCAGTGACGACCCACTCAAGGGCACCCATGTCGGTGGGGGGAGCACCCTCGTTGAGAAGGTAGATGTCGACGTGGTCGGGGATGGGGTACTCGCGGTGGGCGATGGCCTTGAGCAGGGTAGACTTTCCGCAACCGTTCTCACCGAGGAGACCGTAGCGGCGGCCGTAGGTGAGCTCGAGGGTGGTGTCGGTGAAGAGGACGCGGCCGTGGAAGACGAGGGAGGCACTGGTGATCTTGACGTCTCTGCTGCTGGGGACGGAGGCCAGGACACCGGTGGTGACACGGTCGGAGATGCCGTGCTTGTCCATCTGGGCGGCGAGGCGGCTGACCTCGTCCATCTTATCGGCAGAGGTGGCGGGGCCGTCCTCGCCGTCGCCGTTCACCGACGATGCGGTGGTGCTGGCATTCTTGGAGGCGCCCTCCTTCTCGGCCTTCTTCTCAGCGCGCTTCTTGGCGAGCTTGCTCTCGCCCTTGGCGGCGAGTCTCTTCTCCTTGGAGGCGGAAACCATGATGGCGGTGTTGTGATGGAGGAGGAGGAGGGGGTTTTTTGGTGATGGATGACGATGGCGGGGTCGTCGTCTACTTTTTTAAGCGATGGCGGGGAACGTGGTCGTCCGGCAGAAAAGCAAGAGGGAAAAAAAGAGAAACACGGGACCCTTGTGTGTTTTGTGATGATGCGGTCGACTACGATGGGAAAATGCCACGCAGCGTCAAGTCGGCGATGAAGTCGACTTCTAAGGAGAGGATGGGGGAGTAGGAAGAGGCGTGAAGGAGAAGGAGAGAGAAAAAATTCGACGGTTTCTCTGACTGGGTGACGGGACCAAGCGACAAAGCAAAAAAAGTCCTTTGGGCGTGGAGCGGCGGTGCGAAACACAGCCTGGAGAGCGCTGATTTCAGGTTCCCAGTGCTGAAAGGTGGGGAGGGGTCGCTGTTCTGACGACTTGGTAGTGGGGCAGGAGGACTCAAATTTTTGAAAAAGCTGATAACCGATAGGGTAGCGAGGCGATAAGGCACCAACCTGCGTCTCAAAAGATACGTACCCTCCTTGCCTCTGAGGTACTGCTGCTGTTCCTCGAGCAAACAACCACGTCAAGCGCCGGGTATTTTTACCAATATTAATGCATGCAAAGGACTCGGCTGCAGACACGGTGAATAGCGAGGCGGCCAATGACAAGATGTGCTGTGAATCACTTTAATGTCGACGGCTGCGACTGAGTGTGTTGGCGAGTGAACCCTTTTACAGTGTTGCCCCTCAGCATGTGGCTATCCTTATCTAATCAGCATTGCCAGTTGTCCTGCTGGCTGCAACTTGCAGCAGAAGCAGGCCAATGGGGCTTGACGTCACGTCACGTGCAGCTCCGCCTGACTTTACCTGTGACGTGATTGGGCGGGACTGTCAGCAGCAGGCGGTGATGGACGAAAGATGTTAGTTGAAGCGTATGTTTTCTTGTAAATACTATTTCAAATGTTTATGCGACCAATATTCCGTATATCCTTGGGTATCTTTCAAGCTGATGACTGGAATTAGCTCTGCCGTCCATGTGAGACGCTTCCCGTCCCTATTACGTGTGTATATATCGTCTCTCCTTCTCTTAAGGGTTCTTCCTCTGAACATATGCGATGCTCTCACTGAACACGCATTCTGTGGTATCTGTTTGACCACTCCACCCAAGTTTTCACCATCTTCCGATCCAGAACGGTATGGTCGGTTGCAGTGACTCTAGACCGGCACGCAACCCTTCTGTGGAGATGGTCCTGGATATCGTATTAGTGTACGACCATGGCCGTGGAGATGGTCCTGGATATCGTATTAGTGTACGACCATGGCCGTTTGGATGAGGTCAAGGCCATACCTTGACTTTGACAATGTGACGCAAGACTACTTTTCATCCTGGCACTACGGCCGTGGCGGGTGGTGTGTGGTCAGTTGCCATTGTCCATCCCACAAGCTATGGGCGCGGGACTGCTTGTCCTTCGTTCGTTGTTGGAGGTGCCTCTGATGACTGCTCGGGGCTGATTCATCGTGGAGCCCATGATCCTTCCTACGTTGGATCGCCCTCGTGCTGAGCATGATCCAGCATTTTCCAATACAATAATCGTTCCAGCCAGCACTAGTGCAACTTCGCTGCGAGGGATTCCTCAACAACACTCCGGTCCGGGACGGTTGAGCTTATCCTCTATCAGTGTCGACCGAGGCATTTCAGCCCGTCCCATCCCTGCGAAGCTGCCTGTCGCCTGCCGTGATTCGCCTTGTCCCTCGTGAATCTCTGGCGACGCTTCGAAGACGCGGAGCCTATTCTTGACAATCTGTCGGCCTGCGAATTTCCGTTGGGCACTGTCGCCGTCGTTGAATTTGAATGCTTCGGCGAGCATCCCGTTGTTGCGGTAAAGACCTGTCGGCCGCCTCTGCTTTCGTTCGGCCGCGAACATGTCGTAGGCCGGCGGGATAGCAAGATATCTGGCGTCTGTTCCCTCGCATGCGTCTGGTCGGATGTCGTCGCCGCCACGCGATATTGTCGATGGCGATGCTCTCAGGCTGGTGCTGAGCCAAGCGTAAATCTCTTTCCATATCATCCTCTTCGTCGGTGGCTCAAAATCTCGCCTGCCGACTACTGTAATCCCTCGCCACCGTAACGCTCCCGTCCGCCCCGGGCACGAACCTCACATAATGGTTCGCAAAATAACTTAGCATCATCCTCCTCGGCACGAAGATCTCCCACGCGGAACATGTCGTAGGCCGGCGGCATAGCAAGACCTCCTGCGTCTGTTCCCTCGCATGCGTCTGGTCGACTGTCGTCGCCGCCGGTGGCCACCAGGCGGCGACTTCGCGTAAGCTGTGTCTCTCTTTCCATATCATCTTTTTCATCGGTGTCTCAAAACCTCGCCTGCCGGCTACTGTAATCCCTCGCCACTGTCACACTCCCGTCCGCCCCAGGCACGAACCTCACATAATGGTTCGCAAAATAACTCAGCATCATCCTCCTCGGCACGAAGATCTCCCACGCGCTCGTCGGCGGCACAGGGACCATCTCACACAGCTCGCCCCTCGGCACGAACACTACGTCCGAGTACTGCCGCCTGATGTTGTCGACCTCGACGCACGCGAAGACGAAGAGCGCAAAGTGCACGACCCTGCAACCTCCTTATCAGCAAAACTTCCAGACACCCACAGGAGGGAAACTCACATCAGCCAGAACATGAAGAATATCAGCGCCGTCATGGTATGCGTCTGCCTCTCATCAACCTGCCAATACGTCGGATCCAAATCCATATACGACAGCCACCCACTAATCACGACCCCCATCGTCGCCGCCGTCGGCGCCCAAATCAACAAATGCGCCGCCACATGGCCCCCCGGGCTGCCCCAACTAAACCGCGTACTCCGCGGTCGTTCCTTGCTCTTCGTCCACCGCACGCCTCTGTCCCGTACAACCAGCGCCACGAGGTCGCCGCCGCTCCAGAGCATCGCGAGCGCGGAGGTCGGGCTGCCCATGGCCCAGTTGCTGACGTACATGTCGTCGGTCTCGTGCATGGAGCCCAGCACGCCGCCGAGGATGACCAGCGCGAGGAGCAGCGAGGCGAGACGCAGGCAGAGCGTGGTGCGGTACATGGAGCGGTTGTGCGGGATCGCGGCGAGGAAGGCGCCGTGGCGGGTGCCGCTCGGGTCGGGGGCGAGGGTGGTTATGGCTGGGTGGAGGGGTGTGTTGTCCATCGTTGCGGTCCGTCGGAGGAGGCGGCGGTCTGCATCGGGTCTCAATGGAGGTTCGTTCGCCTATGGCGATTGGGATTTGCGCGTCATGGGCGCCATGCGGAGATTTCTTTCAATGGCTGGGTCGGTGTCGATGTTCAATTCTGTAGTGCAGAGCTATTGTTATCGGACGGGATCGAGGGTCGAATTACGCGGTAACTGTGAGGTCGTCGCAAGCGGTGGTGTTGATACGGGAAACATTGGGAGCGCAACATGGGCAGCGATGAGAGGCCGAGGGGAGAAGCCGAAGGGGACGGCGACAGGGGTCAAGATGCTCGATTGAATGCCTCCCAGGGCGGACGGTCCATTCACAGCGCGACGTTGCCGTTCTGGCGGGAGGCGCCCGGTGGGGCGCGTCGTTTCCTGCAGGGCCTGAAGCATGCTGCGACGGGGCGCGGCGCCCCCGGGAACCTGCTGTGCCACTGGGAAATACGGGGACTTTTTTGATTTTGATGTCACTGGGGGATGGGATTTCACAGGTGAAACGTAACGTTGAGGCGCATGTCCATCGCCTAATTGAAGGTACGAATGCCGCCTGACTTTGGAGTTTCTGCAGAAATTGGAATCACTGATGAAGTAACAACAGCACTCTAGAACACCAATTCTTCAAAGACGGCTTAATATGCCCATGTATTCATAATCGTAATGTCCCAAAAATGTAGCAAATATCATAACACCATGCCATGCATTTTTGACAGTCCCCAACGCCATGCGTAAAACCATTAACAGTCCTCACGGGGGTATCTTCCTCTCCTGCTCACATCGACCTCGTCCTGGCACCACCACTCCGCGAACTCTCGCCCAAAACCAAGTTCTTGTTCAACCGAAACTTGCCCTCCCGCGTGTCCCCAGCAGCAGGCGTCATCCCGTTCGCCCCCGTCGCAAACTTCAAGTCCACGTCCCCAGGCAGAATAAGCTGCGGCTGCGCATCCCCCCTTCGCATCCTCTCCAGCTCCGCCTCGTCCGGCACATAATCGTCCGGCGGCGGCCTCATGCTCGGCCGCAGGTGTCGATCGCGGTCGCCCGGCGTCGTCCTCAGCGGCAGCCCGCGGACGGGCTTGCGTTTGATGGCGGAGGGGAGGTGTCCCGGGCGTTCGGGCAGTGGCGGCGGTGGCGTCTCCGGGCGCGGCGACTCGGTGAAATCGGGGAATGCGGCAACAGGCTCGGTAGCTCCAAGAGGGCTCGACGGCTGCGGCGAGCGCGGGAAGGACGGCGCTCTGGCGGAGTTCTGGGACTGCCAGGTCGGCAGCTTGGGGAAGGGCTTCGCGACGACGTAGACTGTCTGGCCTGTTTCGGGGATGTACATGACGCGCGGTCTGCGGCGGCGGATCTCGCGGCTGCGTTCCACGCAGGCGCGGATGAAGAGGCAGAAGCGGATGAAGCTGGATCTGATGTCAGCAGTGTCGGGACGAGGTAGCTTCAGGGGACGTACGCGTTGATGCCCGTCAGGGTGCAGGCGCTGAGGGCGAGGCTGGCCGGGTTGTTCGCCGGGTCGCCATCCATCCAGCTAAGCTGCAACCCGACCCATCCCGCCGCCACGGCAGAGACGACGGAGAGGACGAGCTCGAGGCCGATGAGGGCTTTGGGCGTGATGCCGCGGCCGTAGCGGGCGCAGAGTGTCAGGAACTCGGCCAGGTCCCAGAAGAAGGATGACACAGCCTGTGTGATATCATGTAAGTTTCACACCAAAATCCGGCAAGCAGCAGAGGGACGACATACCCCGACCAACAGAAGCCCAGGCCAGATATTCAAGGCGAGATTCGGCCTGTACGAGTACCACGCCAGACAAATACCCAGCACGATGGCGCTGAAGAGCGTGCCACAGGCCCTAAACACAATCTTGCACACCTCCCACCCGCGGCTGCGCTGGTTCTCGAGCCAGCGCACCTGTGACGGGTCGATGGACGCGGCGGACGGCGACGGCGAGGGCGGCTTGCCGGCGTCGACCTCGGCGGAGTGCAGGGACTCGAGCTGGTAGCTCTCTGCGGCGGGCGCGCTGCTCATGGGCGGCGGCGCATGGAGTCTGTTGTTGGACCGGTCCTCCTCCCAGTAGTTCAGCGCGGTCGACGACAGTTGGTGGTAATATGGTGGTGTCGCGGCTGCTGCTGTGGTTGTTGTTGACGGGAAGGTGGTGGCCTTAGCCGGGACCGCCTTTCTGGAGATTTTCCCCATCAAGGCTGGCTCTGTTCGTATTCCCGCCGGCGCATCGGCGCTTCACTTGTTCCCGCTGAATGACAGAAAAAAAAGATCCGATATTTGACTTGGCGCGAGCGGGAGTTTGGCTGGGAAAACCCAGGCTCGTGTCCGTTACAGCGGTTCGTCCTGACTCGGTGTGTGGCGGCGTCAGGGGTTACCACCAACAGAGCTGCTTCTGACAACGTCGACCAACGGGACACCTTTTCTGCCCGAAGAATGATGTTGATCAATGAATTAGCCCGGGTCTGCGCCTCGTTCAAGTGAACAAGCGTAGAATGAATCGACCGAGGGGACGGGATGGTTCCCCAGACGCGGCGCTGCGGCGGCATGGCATGCGGTTTAAGGGCGGCAGACCAGAAATTAGGCAACCGTATTCTGTACCGGCTCCACTCGCATGCGGAAGCCCGAGCCGAACGGTGAGTTGTTGGAGATGCATTGGCGGCTCTTGTCGTGTCTCCATTTGGCGATTGGCATGCCGGATGGGTGACTGTCAAAGTTGGGGACACAAGTTGTACCCAGTTGTCAGTGATGGTTGCATGTTGAAGTGAGGTTTGCCATTGACCGGGAGGGCGATGGGACCAGGATAAGCATCAACAAGCCTTGGAGTTCACCTTGGCGAGCTGAGCTTCCTGATACAAACACACTCTCCCCGGCGCAATGGAACAATTGGGATATTCTGTCCGCCCCCAGAAGAAGGACTTTGTTAAGAAATGTCCGATGCAGCCGTTGAATTCGACGATCGTCCCGTCCCCTGAAAGTCAACACAAGCTGGTTTCTGTGTGGCCAATCAATGAGGTGGTCGTTGGCAGGTGTCCACCTTTAACCGGAGACATCGTTCTGGAAGCTCGGTCTCAGTCACAGGCAGACAGAACCTCTCCCATGAACATCTTCATCCCATTATCAGCCAAAAGTTCAAAATGTCCATCGCTAAGTCAAAACAAATGAAATCATTATCTCAAATGGCAAAACATTGGACACTGTGGGAATTGAACCCACGACCTTTCACAAGGCTCACCGTCTTGTAGACGAACATGCGAAGCGAAAATCATACCCCTAGACCAAGCGCCCATTGCTGAAGGGTGTAGTGTGAGATAGGTCTCAAGAAGCCCGCATCGTATCGCGAAATCATACATCCCGCAAGATGCGTTCTCTGTCGCTTCACATTGCTTTAATAAAGTCAGACCCGTAGTCGACTGCAACCAGGTGAGTGCCCAATACTTCGAACCTTAACGGCACGGCTCCATTGACCTCCGCCGAACATCTCATATCATCGCCACATCACTCAACGGACACAAACATGCAACTGATTGAAACGTGAAATCGCTTCTCATTCATCCACCCACACGGGTATCCTACTCATACACTCATTATACAACCTCCTCAAGCCTGCACATCGCTCTTCAACTTCTCATACACAGTCTCACCTCCAACCTCACCCTGCCTCGGCCCCGCATCCCGCGCGCCCTTTGTCTGGCTTAGCTTCAAGTGCTGCTCCGCCACGCGACCAGGGTCATTCTCACTGCCAATCTCCGCCTTCATCGCCGCCTGCACGCCGTCCTTGGTGTTCTTGTCGTCGAAGCCCTCCGTGATGTTCTTGCCGTGCGGGCCGTTCGGGTCGCGCGTGTATTGGTTGTTCACGTATGTTGGCGCTGCGCCGGCTTGACCGGGCACCGATGCGGCGCCGCTCCCGGGAGCAGAGCCGGTGCTGGGGGTGGCGGAAGCTGAGGGGTTGGCGGCGAAAGAGCCGTTGTTCGCGGCGGACTCGGCTGCGAGGGAGCCGGCGGGGACGGGGCCCGTGGGCTCGGAGGTTGTAGGGGCGGAGGCGCCGGGTTGAACCTGCGCTTGTTAGTATTGTTATTCATGATGAAAATAAGCTGAGGCGCGAAGTGAAAGTGTAGGCGTACCTTAGTGCCGGCGGAGGGAGCCTTGTTCTGTTGCGCAGACATTTTGATGGTGATATGTGATTGGTTTGTGATTTTGGGTATAACAGACTCGTTTTGTTTTAGTCGATTGATTTCGTAGTTGTTTGATTTGACTTATCCTGCTATTCATTTTCGAATTCGAGGCTCATCGCAGCCATATAAATCACAATCGCCGTGGCCTCGCATGACATCATGTCGGCCTCGTCTTACATCAAACCCAAGCCCGGAGGAAAACCTCCACGCACAAGCAACGAACCCACTGCGGGATGACTTCAGCCTCTCCACATATCCCACCACAGCTCTGTCGCGAGATGGGCAATGAGCGCCGCATTACATCACTCTTGCGGCTCTGTCTCCTCTTCCTATCTCTTGATTGAGAAAATGAGGCAAGATGAAAACTTGGATGAGATGGATGAAATTGGCGTGTTGCAGGTGTGGAGAGCGATCGGTCATATTGGCGCGACCGATCGATTCTCACCGAGGGCTCACCGAGGTGTGGAGACACGTGGGCGGGCCGGCTCGCGGGTTATGTGCTGGGGCTTATGACGCGGATTGGAGATGAGGCTGGCTTTTCTTGGTGATGAATCAGTGTGTTTGTACTTTTCAACGTCATCATTATGGATTTATGAAGTATTGTATTCATTTATGAGACAGAACAATCTCGAGGTGGATATCTAAGATCTCCATTTGGAACTGAACCCTTCTCGGCCGAGATGCGTCAGCCGCAAGCTGTGAGGCTGGGAGTCCAACCATGCATGTCTTTTTTCTCCGCCTGCCTTTGTGAAAAGTGCAACCTTCTTCTTATGATAATGATTTACCATTTCTTACTCATTCTGTGGACGAGGCCAAATGACGGGATGTCTGTTGATACCCTAGAGCTTAGTAGAAACGGTTCCCTTCCAAAAGTTCTCTGGATCAGGACACTGAAAGATGAACCGAGTATTCAAAACAAACACTCATCATAAGAATATAACGACCTTAGGGTACAATACTTTCCAGATATGCATCGAGTGAAGCCTCACCTTACGTAACTGCTTGGTTTGTTTTCGTGATCTGAATAGAGACAAAATAAAATGAGGTTCACCACCAGGTGCAAAACTCAACGCGCATGACTCTGTGAATCATCAAACCAAACACTCTTAGTCCCTTGGCAGCAGTTTCACGGGAAACGTTTACGAAATGTTTTAGTAAACTCATCCGCGGCTTGAGGTCTTATGACTGTGAAGCCCATCTTAAGCGGGGAAACGGGAGGTGTCATCTCGAAGCTGGTCTTGGCATCATCTTGTCAAAAGCTTAAATGACGCCAAACAAGGCAGCTAGCCAGGTTTCAGCTGCTCCGACAGGGAATGTCATGTTAATTCTCGCTTCATCTCCGCGCATCTGGCTGGTCTAGGTCACTTGCAACTTCAAGCGCACTACAATCGCGGAGTTGTTGAGAAGACCTGCACTTCTGTTACCTATTGTGATTTGTGAGAATAGTCTCAACAACTGAGTGAGTGCCCCGCTCTAAGTCTGCATTTTCCTGCCCAGGATCATCTACTCCCTGGCTCTTTGAAAGCCTCACTCTACGAAAGAGCGCATTCCGTCGGCACATTTTTCGCCATCGAGGCCCCTAACTGCATCACTTTCCAAATGGTCTACAATAAATTCGGTTTCGGACGTATGTCGCTCATTTAGTCTCTTCGCCCGATATCCTCACCTCGTGGCACGGCCCACCTCAACTCAGGTTACACCCTGAACCGCGATGATCCAAGTTCGTCGCACAGATTAAAAACCCCCTTTTCCCACGAGTCAAATCAATAAATCACTCAAACTAAGTTTCAACGAAGCAGTTCACGCGATATGGGGACCAGCGGATGAATTATGTGAAATATGTGTTCCATGGAAAGATATGCAAGAATCGAACGATGACTAGCCGAGCCCACGATCTCTGAAGAGACGCAGAAACAGCCATGATCCCGTCTACCACGCGGCGACCACACGCAGCAAAGTCTTCAGCTTCTAGCTGATCTCATCAGACATCAACCACTACCTAAACCCTCGCTGAGGGAACCCTTTAGCACTCGGCGCCGGAGCCGGAGGGAATGCCGGAGCACTCGGAGGAGGTCTTGCCGCCGGTGACGGAGACGCCAGACCACTTCCAGTTGGAGCAGGCGCCCTTGGCGCACAGGATGTAGACGTTGGTGCCCTTGGAGGCGACGGTGCCCTTGACGTCCTTGACGGTGACATCGGTGATAGGGATGCCGTCGGTGGGGGTGCCGGTGGGGCTGCCGTTCTCGTAGTCCTGCTGGATCACGATGCCCTTCTTGTTGATGTTCTTGAGGGTGATGTTCTCGAAGGTGACGCCGCTCACAGAGCCGGTCTTGTGGGCGATGGTCTTGATGCGGATGCCGTTGTCGGCCTTCTCGATGGTCGAGTCGCGGATGACGATGTTCTTGACCGTGTTATCGGTGCGTCCGCCGACGGAGCCGATGGACAGGCCGTGGGAGCCGTAACAGTAGCCGTTCTCGAAGACAATGTTGGTGCCAGAGTTGATGGCGAGGCAGTCGTCCTGGTTGTAGACCTTGGCGCCGGAGATGGTCACGCCGGTGGACTGGCCGACGTCGAAGGCGTCGGTGTTGTGGCCACCCTTGGAGTCGCCGTCCTTGTTGTTGATCTCAACGTTGTTGCTGTGTAATCGTGTCAGTGATCAGGGACCATAAAGCGTAATTGATTACGAAGACTTACACCTTGAGGTTGGTGACTCCACTGATGGAGAAACCGTGGACGGGGGTGTTCTTGATCTTGAGGCCGTTGATGGTGCCGTCGTTCATCTTGACCTTGAAGAACTTGGGCTTCTTCTTGCCGCCGTTTCCGCCCTTGCCGTCCCACCAGCGCTCACCCTCGCAGGAGATGAGACTGCCGGAGGCGCCGGTGACGGTGATCTTCTTGCCGCCGACGGAGATGAGGGGCCCCTCCCACTCCTTGTAGCCGAAGGTGGTGGTGCCCTGGAAGGTGACCTTGGTGCCGTCTTTCAGGCCGGTGAGGTCGAGGGTCTCGCCGGCGGGGACCTTGACGTTGTTGAGCACGATGTCGGTGCAGGAGGTCTTCTTGGACATGGCCGTCTTGGCGTCGGTGAAGGTGCACGAGGCGCGGGTGTCGAGCTCGGCGGGGGCGGCGGCGGCCAGGGCGCTGAAGCCCGCGATCATGGGAAGGAAGCGCATCGTTTCGGTGGTGGATGGGATGTGGTCAACACGAGGATAAACTTCAAGTTATGTACAGAAAGTCCTTGCTTTCTTAAAGAGAGACTGAGGTTGGTTTGAAAGGAGTGTGGTAAAAAAGAGTGAATGAAGGTGAGTGTGAAGAGCACGATGAAGCTATCTAGAAACACCTCGAGAAGGAGGAAGTTTAAGGTTACTTATAAGGAGGGAGATTCACTCCCTGCTGGGCCGTTTGTCTGCCCAGTCATACGTCCTCCGTCAGCAGCAAGAATGCCATGCCTCTTTCGGATGGTCGGCCTATCGCTGTAAACATGCCCCGGCTCACCAGAAGAGACGATGATTTCGAGAGCAAGCCCTCCAATCTGGACCTGCAGCCGGAGGTTCCATGCTGCTGACCCCCCTTGAGGAGACTCGCTCCACTTTCATTAAATGGTTCGAGCTTCAAATTCTGCACTCCCGTGGCGCACGTGGAGCGCGTGGGCTGGCCCTCCTCGTTGGGATGCCGGCGAGCAGAAGTTTTGGCTGCGGCGATGGGATCACAGCCATGTCCTTGGGACGAACCGTCTTCTCTCTCTGCAAGTTGTTGAGGTGGTCTAGACGCACAGATGGACCGTTCCCGCCTTTCTGCAGCGTGGCTACGAAGCTTTTTGCCCAAGACTTTGGCAAGGCTTGGCAAGAAACATTGCTGTGCTCTCGAATCGTGGGAGCTGGGAAGGACTACCACTTCAGGCAGCTCAATCTCAATGGCATCTTGGCTTTTTCTTGGCTTGGGCTTACCCTGCCGATCTACCCGATCACTTCCATGTCCAGCCCCAGAAGGCAAGGCTGTATGCTCCACTGATTTTTGCGGCTCGCCCTGTGTGAAGAAAATAGGAAAAAGAAAGGGGAACGATATTCCACCCTATTCCCCCGACGTCTCCAGCAGGATTCATGCAACTATCGAGGGAAACAGAAAAGGAGTTGGGATGATCTCCATGATTTTCGTCGGCGAGCGTCCGACCACCGGAATGAGTTCCGGGACCAACCCAAAAAAGATCTCGCAATCGTATCCCTTCCACCAGAGGCCTGCTGCTATGTATTCCAGGGCCATGTTAATCAATCTTACTCGGAGCTGTCGGCTCACCTAAAGTGGTGTGATTAACCTTAAAAGCCCTAATTGCAAAAGACAGAGACGCTAGGACTTCCGACGGCCGACTCGCCTTGTGGGGAATAGGAGGCTCTCTAAGCGGGTACGGGCTGACGCGTAAAGTTGCCCTCGGGAGACGTGAGGCTCAAGAAGCCTTGCTCGAGGGCGAGCAAGGGCAAAATCACACTTCATGGTTGGAAATTCGATAGACCGGGCCAGTTTGTTACAAATTTAGACGAGTCCTGAGACGGCGAGCCTTCTATCAAAAGAAGGGGAACCAACGAACGGTGAACCGGATTTACAATGCAACTCCCCTCGTAATGTGGGCACCTCCAAACATGGTTGTCGGGTCCCGACAAGCCCGCCCAACCCTGTCTATTTCTCTTCTGGCAGTTTGCTAGTTGGCTGATTCGTGTGGGTGAGCTAACGTTGGTCCTAGCCTACTCAGGCGCGCTAAACATCTCACGGCGCAATCTTACCGGCAAAATCAAACCGTCTTGGGAGATCATGCAGCGAGGTGCAAACCAATTCCAGCCACGGGAGCCAACATACTTGAAACGAGCCGGTCTTTGAACACTTTATTTCGACTCCGCACTGCGCTAGGAGTAACAAGGCAGAAAAGAGCAATACGAAAACAACGGAGTGCCGGGTGACTTCATTTGCATGTAAAGTCGTACACGTTATTTCTGCCCACCACTGGGCCCCGGGCAGTTACCGAAGTTCATCCTAGAATCATCTATAGATGGCTCCGTAGCTCTTCTTCGGTCCAATTCCACAACGCATCCCGCTTCTCCTTGCTCTCGCTCAATCGGGTACCTTTACCGGTCACGCCCACCGGGTGGTAGAACGTCCCGCTCTTCACGTCCGGGCTGAACGAGGCCCAGAGCTGGTTGAGCGCGCCCCTTTGCGGGCTCACCGCCACGACCTTGACGCCGAGGTACACGACCATGCCGACGAGGAAGTTGGAGTTGTTCATGATGGACTGGGCGAGGTTGGTCTCCACGACGCCTGGGTGGACGCTCGTGACCTTGAGCTCGGGGTTGCGCTCGGCGAGCGCCGCCGCGTAGTGGATGTTGGCCACCTTGGAGATGCCGTAGCGGTAGCGACTTGCGATCTCGGGCATCTTGGTCTTGAGTTTGTTGAATTCGTATGTGCCCTTGGGCGCCCAGCCTTCAGCGCCGGAGGAGAGGAAGACGATCCTCACGTCTGTGTTCTCGTTCGCAGTCTTCTTCATGACGGGAAGGAGGAGCCGGGTGAAGAGGGCGTGGCCCATGTGATTGGTGCCGAACTGGATTTCATATCCCTCCTTAGTGAGGCCGTCGGGCGTGGACATGATACCGGCATTGTTGATTAGCAGGTCAAGGCGTTGGGACTCCTCTTTGAACTGCTTAGCTGCGGCCTTCACACTCTCAAATGATGAGAGATCCAGGGGCAGATACGAGATGGGCGACACGCTGGCTCCTCCCTTCTTCAGCTCCTCGATGGCCTTCTCGCCCCTTTCCTTTGAGCGACCCGCCAGGTAAATGTGCGCGGGGTTATGTTTGGATATTTGCCGAATCGTCTCCAAGCCGAGGCCGGCATTTCCGCCCGTAACTATGATGACCTTCCCGGTCAAATCCGGAATGTCCTTGTCCGGATTGAAGTTGTAACCTCCCATCAAAAACGCCGTCGCCATCTTGTCTGCGATAGTCTGTGAATTGCTGATTCGCTTTTGATGAGGATAAAATGCCCGTGATTAGAGATGTAAAGAGGCAGAAACGCCAAGCACGTGTTTAAAATACATCATGGCAGAAAGTTTGCCGTTTCAAACGATGCGTCCGACCGTCCCGGACTTCGACATCTGTTCTCCCATAAAACCGGTCATAGAGTTGTGCTGCAGTTTCAGGGACTAGGGAATCCCCCCCGCTTTGAGTTTCACTCACGACGTCTTAACGTTCTGGCGATCAACAGTACTGGCCAGCTCATAGGACGGAAATACCGTTTGACTTCCCGGAGGGAGCTTATCTCTTAGATCAGACTGCCATTCTGTTTGCATTTGGGAAGGTGAGGTCCGTCTCGGATGAATTTACCATCCCGTTGGAGATTCGGCGTAGATGCTAGAGTAATCCGAATATGAAGACTGTAAATCTTACTGACGAGCGAAGAAAACATATTTGAGGCATCATAGACACGGACATGGTCTTCGTTGAAAAGCCGCTGACATACGATATTGCGATCGGTAAGGTTCGTGAAGGATTCTTGGCGCCAAGGTCAAAGTGTTCGGCAATCATGATCCACTCTCGTCGGATCGTCCCGATGTGGGCGATGCCAGACTTGCCTATATCTGAACTCACGATATTGATGTGGCTCCTGTTCAATATGTCAGAGTTTGCTTTGCGGGCAGACTTTTGCTTTTCTTGCTTGTTGAATAATCTTTGCCGTCATATTTAAATTAGAATGTGTGGATGAAATCACGACACGATTTTTGACAACTTCGACAACGGGAATGAAATACGCGACAGAGACAATAAAGCTAATAGAAACAATTGGAAGAAATAGGGATGAAGAAATGAAAATGACGACAAGGACGATAAGGGTGGCAAAGAGAGTAAGAGCGTTAGATGTCGTATGAAATAGCAGACCATTCCTACTTTCAGAGTTACTAATGGCTAAAACCAACCATCTCATGAATACTTTCACACAATATACTTCCTCGCGCAGAATAAGATCGGTGAGAAGGTGGAAGTTCCAAAAAAGGGCCCTACGACATTTACAGATTTCTGTTAATGAGTCTTATTTCTCGCACGAAACTTACCTCTGCATGAGGCTATTCAATAATTCTGAAAGAGATACGCCAGTCTCCTTCAACAAGTAGTACTTGATCGTGTAATTCTTGTATACATCGTGCTGTTCTTCTCTACTTCAACTTGTTTTCCCAGCCTTCCCAGTCTCATCGTCTTCATCTGATGATGAAAGCAAAGAATCTTCCTCTAGTACCCAGTCATCTAAGGGTATATCCTCCGCCTGTAGTCTCTGATACTTCCTTCTTCTATATCTTCTAACGCCAATCACAATCCCAACAACGACGGCAGACAAAATCACAACGAAGCCTCCAAACAGAACCCACTTTCTCCAACCTTTCAAGCAGCACGGGTACCAGGCCATGTAAATACCCACCGCCCACTCTGTCCATCCCATCTTCCGTCTGTGATCTGGCTTGAGTCCCTTTCTCACGAGGTGCTTGTGTCTTGGTCCAGTTGGCCCGGACTCGAAGCGCTTGAGTCCGAAGCGCGGCACCGTCTCCTGTCTTGGATCGGAGTCAGGCCATTGCAGATCGCCCCATCGGCCGGTGTAGTAAAAGAGGGACGTCAAGTTTGCATCCGAGGCGAGCTTCGGGAACGACTGTTCGGGAGGCTCTATCCTAGTGACAGTGAAGGAATCGGCATGAAAACGGTAGAAGTAGGCTGAGAGGACGGGATCCCACTTCTCTCCCTCGTCACAGTAGTCTACTAAAGCTGCATTATGAACTTGAAGCCTGGAATGTTTGGTTAGCTCAAAGGTCTGTTTCTCAACGAGAAGTGATGACTTACCCTGACGACGCATAGTTGGCATGCGATCCACGCGCACTGTAAACGACAGGCTGTGATACATCAGATCAGTACACTGAAAGAAATGAAGCTCGCTGGGTTGACGTACCCGTTCGTCTATCTTTGAGATTTTTGAATCATCCCAATCATACGCTGCACCATCTACATGCTGGCTGAAGTAAATACCCGTCGGCTTACCATCTCTAAAGCGTACCATGTTGTGCTCCCTTGAAAATTGTTAGTCTGGCTTGGTAGGCGTATGCGATATGACCCACCAATCTCCAATGTGATCGCCAAAGTGCATCCCTGAAGCTGCCTTCGGACCCTTGACTAAGCGATCGAGGGGCTCCAAAACTTGCGTGATGTTCGGCCCTTCGTTGAATGAGTAGAAATAAAAGTAAAACGCGTCCAGCTCGCGCTCGTTCTTCTCAACAATGACTACAACACATGGCGTGGAGTTGTGGATGCGACCGGTCTCGTCCGGGGCTTCGCCGTAAAGCCATTTCGGATAAGTCGTTGGATCATCGTCGGATACAAGCGCAACATGATCCTTGTTGCCGTATTCATTCAAAATTTCCAAGTTGTCAAGATCGAGCGACGGAAGGCCAGTGATTGGCTTCCTATCGACCGCCGGCGTGGTGTGGCGGACATGGGTGAGAAGGTCGCTCGGCTTGAACGGGTCATCCGAGTGCAGCCATAACAGCGGTGCTGGCAACCCTCGTTAGCTGTCATGTATCTTTCCGCATGATAATCCTACGATAAGCAAGAACTTTACGGGCTCAAATACCATGACGTGCGACATATTCCGGGCACCGAGCATCCGGCCCCGGCTCCGGCCCCGCCCGGGCGGAGTACGCGAGTAAGATGCCGAAGAAGCAGACCAGCAGTCCGGACATCGACGCCCGCACGTGAGTAGACGATGTGCCCGCCATCTTTCGCAGCTCGCAGCACTCGTGATGGAACGGCGCAGCTAAGGGATAAGCTCGAGGGAGGAAGCTCGTCGTGTGCAGCTGCGTTGCAACAAAAGGTCCAATCGCGGCGCTTTGTCAGCGTCAGCAGCCCGGTATCTTCGGCACCCGTTAGGTCCCCGTCGGAACACTCGGATTGGAGCAGCTGGAGCAGCTGGAGCTTGGCCTTCTAATTCTTGCATTTTCCAAGCTGCACGACCGTTCCCCACTGACAATTAACGTTGATTAATTGGTTGGTGCCGCCGGGGGAAGGCTCTTGGTGTTTCTTTGACGCAGGATTGAGATCGATGATAGTGGGCCAACACGAACATGACGAGTTTGGCGGGCTGCATGTAATTTGGTCACGAGAGTGATGACTACCATCCAACCCACCAGTTCGTAGAGGCCGAAAGAATTGGTGTCCGATTGAAGACCATGTCTTGCGATCTGGTGTTGGCTATCCCCAGCCGAGTGCCACGCTCAGTCATACGATGCACGGAGGGGTTGCATGAGACACTATGAAGAGTGCCATCCGATGCGGGAGCCGGCCACCATTTGACGAACCCTAGAACCATCGCAGCTCTTGGATGCTTCAAAATTGAGGTCGGTAGCACGACGAATCTTGAACCAGACAAACGGGTCCATTGATCTGACGGCATGTCTGCCAGCATATGTCCGTTGCAAATCAATTGTGGGCACTGTCAGACCCTAAAAAGAACCGCTCATCTCATCAGGCTGTTCTTCTCTTCGTTGGTCGTTCTTACAACAAAGTCAGCCTAACGATGATCTTTACCGGACGAGTCCAGAATTACAATCCGGTGAAGTTTGGTGCGGAGAAGCCCGCAGGTTGAATCGACCGACCTCGACCGTATGCCCAACTGACAATGGCGGGGGTGAACGTGATCGGACCCCTGCGTGCCGCCTCGACAGCCCAAGGGCACATTCGCGTAATGCGTCAGCCACGCACCCACGGCCCAACGCGGCAGCAATTGTCATCTTGCACAGACTCAGAGGCAGACAGTTGACGAGGCGCACGTACTTTTCGGTACTCCAGACAGCTAAGCTAATCAAGAAGGACTAAGCTTCACCAAGCTACCTAAGCTTTCTCTTGTCAGGGGGGGATCATTCAACGGCCATGCGACCAACCAGGCCAAGCCTTGATACACCCCTTTGATGGCGACACCGACAGGCTGGTGTGCTGTACTGTAACATAAGCTGCATGGAGGGACAGCGGTAACCCCGCAGTTTTGCGTTAGAGACGGGCTCTATTTGGATGCTCGCATCTTGCTGAGATAGGCTGGCTAGTCTGCCTTATTGTTCGCCAGACAGAAGTTTCTTTGGCGCTGGTGTACCTTTGACGACTTCAGGGCCCTCCACATCCCGGTGACATACTTGCCCGACGCCCGCTCATTCGAAAGTACGGACGAGTACACGCGATGGATGGGCAACGTTCCCCGCGGTTCTAGAGAACGCCCATTACTGCATAGAGACCAGTCAGGCATACCGTCTGCGGGTAATATGGTTATTTAATCTGATCGCCCCCGCTACATCCCGCCGGCTTCACACGGGACGACCTTCTTTTGCTCGTCGTTGAGACTGGTGCTCGTCACGTTGGGCTTGGAAGACTTTCACTTTGAACCAGCACTTGCAGCTTCGTCAGCAGCAACTTATCGCCATTGACGTTTGAGGAAAAAAAAACAAGATGTCGGAGAAGAGACTTGACACCGATTCACCGTGAGTTATAACCCCTGTTTTCAGTTGAACACCGCAAACAGCTCACTTATGCACATCACAGCGTCCACAAGGACAATGTCTTCCATCATGATGGGGCTGAGAGAAAGCAGAGCATCGCCGAGCTCACTCAGAACCTCGAGGGGGAGATTTGCAACCCTCTGAAAGGAATTTCCAAGGCTCAACTCATGGAGCAGGTTGCTGTATATCAGAAGACTCAAGGCTTGCCTGACGACATCCTCCCGCTTCTCCAGAAAGGCGCCCTGGTGGCGCAGAATCCGGCCCTCTTCGAGACTCTGGATGAACTTGACGAGAGCGAGAAGATTGCTCTTCGAGAGGAAGTTACCCACAGATGGAAGCACCCGTGGGCTCTGTACTACACCATCATTCTCAACTCGATTGCTGCAGCCATTCAGGGATGGGATCAGGTACGTCTTGAATTTTGACGATATTTGAACGCAGAGCGGCTCACTAAGAGACAGACCGGTTCCAACGGTGCTAACCTCGCCTTCCCCAATGCCCTTGGTATTCCTGACTCTGCTGGCTCAGCCTGCGGTCCTGTTGCCAACGAGGGTGATTGCGCAAAGAACAGCTGGATCATCGGCTTCGTCAACTCCATGCCGTACATCACCATCTGCCTGTTGTAAGTACCACTAAACAAGCTTTACGCGTATCCATTAAGCTTCGACTAAAACTGGATTTACAGTGCCGGCTGGATATCCGACCCCATGAACGAACTTCTCGGCCGACGTGGCGTCATCTTCGTCGCTGCCATCTTTTCTGTACTCGCTCCGTTCGGCATGGCCGTATCACAGACATGGGGCCAACTGGCAGTGTGCAGGTGAGTTTCCGTCGGCGACCTGATCATAACTCAATCGATCATTCGCTGATAACGCTTCTTTGACAGGATGCTTCTCGGAATCGGAATGGGTTTGAAAGAGGTTACAGTTCCGGTATTCTCCGCCGAGAACTCCCCCACTCTCATCCGAGGCGGGCTGGTCATGTCTTGGCAAGTTTGGACGGCCTTTGGTGAGTAGTAGTCCTAACATAGTTGGCGCGGTTAAGCAGGTGTTGTTTTCTTCGTTTCAAAAATAGCTGACAAGTTTGATTGCGAAACCGAACAGGCATCTTCCTGGGCACATGCGCCAACCTTGCTGTTGGTAAAACCGGAGACATCGCATGGCGACTACAGTTTGGCTCTGCTTTCATCCCAGCTGTGCCGCTTGTGATTGGCACGTACTTCTGCCCTGAGAGTCCTCGTTGGTACCTGAAGAAGGGCAAGACCGTCAACGCTTGGCATTCTCTACTGCGATTGCGCAATACCCCTTTACAGGCGGCCCGCGATCTCTACTACATCCATGCGCTACTGGAGGATGAGGTCGCTCTCGTGCGCGAGGCTGGCCTCAAGACTACCAGCAATTTGTTCACTCGATTTGTTGAGTTGTTCACGATTCCGCGTATTCGACGTGCGACATGGGCGGCGGGTATCGTCATGATTGCACAACAGATGTGTGGAAGTAAGTCTTCAGATCGTCTGTACAATGACTCAATCAGTTCATGCTAACCTTATGGCAGTCAACATCATTTCCTTCTACAGCTCGACCATCTTCAAGGAGAGCGGCATCAGTGATTACACGGCTCTATGGGCCAGCTTCGGTTTCGGTTTGATTAACTTCACCTTCGCATGGCCTGCAGTGTGGACGATCGACACTTTTGGTCGGCGAACACTCTTGCTCTTCACATTCCCGAACATGTTCTGGACCCTGCTTGGTGAGTTGTCCTGCTACGGAGCGAACCCTCATCGGTGCTGTCGCATGACGTTGACTTTCTGGGTGTAGCGGCTGGTCTCTGTTATCTCATCGACAAGGACAGCGAGAACAGCACAGCCAGAATCGCCGCAGTTGCAACCTTTGTCTACCTCTTTGCAGCCTTCTATTCCCCCGGAGAAGGCCCGGTCCCGTTCATGTACTCGGCCGAGGTTTTCCCTCTTTCGCATCGTGAGATCGGCATGTCGTGGGCCGTTGCGACCAACAACTTCTGGGCTTCCGTTCTGTCCCTCACCTTCCCTCGCATGTTGATTGCAATGACGGCAACTGGAGCTTTCTCGTTCTATGCTGGACTAAATTTAGTTGCCTTGGGTCTTATATTTGTGAGTTGTCTGCTCTAGTCAATAGCGCGATAGTCACTGACATGGCATAGTTGTTTGTACCCGAAACGAAGCAGAAGTCTCTGGAAGAATTAGACTACGTATTCGGCGTCCCGGACCGAACCCACGCCTCTTATCAACTTTTCACTGTCTTACCTTGGTGGATCAAGCGTTGGATCTTCCAGAAGAAGACCGCGGTCTGCCCGCCTCTTTACCACGACGAGAACGCCGACAACCACCGTGGTGGCGAGTGAGCACCACATCACAGAGGATAACTATCTGAGAGCTTTCAATGGTTCGAATGACTTGGGGAGGGTCGGAGCTTCGTGGGGTTAGATGGAGTTGTTCGAGAATCTGGACAGTTATGGCTGATTGATGTGGATGGGTTTAACGATCATGGATGTAATGCAGAAGACTGGTATTTCTTTCTGTCGTTTCCTACATCAGACCTTGACAGGTTATTCCTGATATACCCTTCGTTTCAAAGAGAACACTTGCCAATGTCAAGATTATCAATGTTTTGCAGCCTAATTACGGTACATTACACCAAGCATGTGTGGATATTTCGTTGGACAAGTGGTGTATGCCGTGTGGGCTCGAATGACTATTGAACGAATGAGGCAGGGGCTAACACCGGTATTTCTCCTCATGTCTGCTAGCTCTGTACCACACCCGGGGAGATAACCGGGGATAACAACACGATTCCTAGATCATCGCTACATCGGACGAATAGCAACAGCTAGGACCCATTCTCAGTAGCTCACGCGAGTCGAATTAAGGTTACCATGTGGGCGGTACATCCGGGAAGCTTCAGTTCTGTCACTGGGTTCTACGTAGTAGAACGAGGCTACCTACTCGAAAGCGTGATGATAGATGCGCGGGATATGTTTTCCTTGGCACAGAGTCAGTGTCCAGGTCACATCCGGTCCTATCACAGATATTTCCGAGGGCTCTTTACTACTTGCCAAATGTCACTAAAAAGAGCAATCATTTCCAAAGCTTGGCTACGGACTGATTCAACGACTTTAGGAGGATCAGTGCTTCTCCTGATACATCATCATCGAGCTCTAGCTCCGTCAGCATCGTCCACATCCTCTTGGCTTCTCAACTGCCGCACACCGGTGTACCTCCAATTAGAGATGTACGTCTCGAATGCTTGCTCTCCATGCTTCCCGTTCGACGTAGCGTAGACACCCAAGACGACCCCTGAAACTTTGTCAGCGTGATCACGACGTGCGGTGGACTTTGACATACCAGAGTAGTACGGTACCAACTCGGTACCCTTACAATATCCAAATACTCTCATCTCAGAGTTCTCTCCCGGTCCAGCAAGTCCGGCCGAGAAGGCAAAATGCGTGCTGTTGACCGCCTCGATCTGAAGAGAGAGCTTTTGCTCAGCCCACCCATCAGGCAGAGGGAACACTTGGTTTGGAGGGTTCTCCATTGCTCGGTAGGGTGTCTCTGAGATACCCCTGAAACGAAGGTGTGGTCGCAGATCTTGACTCCCATTGGATTTGAGCATCACGATACCCAAGTCAAAGTGTTGCGCCTGGTCTTGAATTGCTGAGATGCCAACCTCCATCTCCTCCTTCGTCAGAGACTTTGACCAGTCCACATCCACACGGAAGCGGAACAGAGAGTGTGCCATGCGGCGCCCGACAAAAGTCTGACCCCGTCCCAGCGCGAAATCTGCGTCAAAAGCTGTGAGATTGAGAACTGATGACTTGAGGGCGAGTGTGTTCCAGTGACCTGGGGGTGAGACGGCGTAGTTTCTTGATTTGGGCAAGCGCCAGTGTATGAAGTGAATCGGAAGTTTGCTGCCAGGAGGAAAGTTGACGGCATCATCTGCGTCACTGAGCTGTCCTTCGCCTTGCTCGGGAATAGCTTCGGACGGTAGCGGCCAGCCGGACATATCGCCCGTGACAGGTGTGAAGACAGGGAACTCCCCTTCATTCCATGTGACTGGTGTGAGAACGGTCTCTCGACCCATCGGCAGGTTTCCGAAGTAAGCTCCTGGATCCTGACCATATGAGCCGCCGGCACGAACCGCAAGAGCGACGGACCACCATTGCCCCTTGGAATCTTGGAAAAGATCTGCATGTCCGACAGCTTGGAAGTATGAGCTTGTGTTGTTCGCTGAAGTCAGGAGAGGGTTTCCAGGTGCAGGTTCATAGGGGCCGGTCAAGTTTCTCGAACGTGCCATCGTCACCATGTGATTCTCTCGCGTACCACCTTCAGCGAGGAGAAGGTAGTAGTAGCCGTCTTGCTTCCAGATGTGCGGTGCTTCAGGCGATCGTCCTCCCGTACCGTTCCAAGGCATGATGATGTCTCCAATTTCACCAGTCACGAGGTCCAACGGAGCGTGCATAATGCCTGGATAGTAGGCGGCAGTATGAGCGCCTGAGACGTATGTTTTGCCGTCGTCATCCCAAAAGGGCGAGGGATCGAAGCCCGGGAAGCTGAAGTGAACAGGATCAGACCAAGAATCTGAGCTGTAGGGGTCTGTTGCCGTGAGAACGAAGTTGTCCCATCGACTGTCGTTCGTCCTTGGCAATTGTTGGTTTACTAGAGTACAGAGTAGGTAAAATGTACCCTGATGGAAGCGTAGTGTTGGCGCGTAGATTCCACTTGTGGCTTTTGGCAAGAAGGCCATGCCAGGAAGTTGGTCTGCTCTGCCGAAGGCGTTGGAGACATGCTTCCAGTGGATCAAGTCTCGACTTGCGTGAATTGGAAGACCCGGAAACGCGAGGAAGCTCGATGTTGCACAGAAGAATGTGTTGTTCAACTCGGGCACGAAGATGCAACTTGGATCCGGATTGAAGCCGCTGATGATCGGATTCTGGAAGGTGGAATTCTGCGCATGGCTAAGCCCGAAGAGGGCCAGCGCCGAGGCCAGCAGACTGGTCTTCATGTTGTTGAGACCTAGAATCGTTAAGCTCACACGACGTATCTCGTCTGGCGTGAAAGCCTCCAAACTTTTCGTACTCTCTTGACGAGAATCCACTCCGCCTTTTACATGTCTTCAAAATCCCGGGCTCGTGGTTGACCCCGCGCAGGATCCATGGAAAACATGCATGATCAGGTCCACAATCGGAGGGAGGATCGCTGAGAATCGCTGAGGTTCGGAAGGCCGGAGACGAGATCACGGATCGGTGAGGTCACGGTACGGCGCTTTTCCGAAGCCCCGGTTCAGTGGTGAGTCCTCGTCGGGGTGGACTGAGTTTAGCCTGAATCGCCATCTACCGATCTTGTCCAGCTTTGGGGAGTCCTCAGAATGCGGGGAAGATGCAAGGCTCGACGCGGCGACACCTGGATGCATGACACATTTCCGTTGACTTATCGGCGTGAATAAAACGCAGAAATTCTCATGCAAGCCATCATCGCTGCATATCCGTCGATGACAGTGCCTGCAGGTAACATTTATGTCTCCTCAGTAATAGTACACAATTCTAGAACGATACTCCACCACTTCCATACCACAAGCCCTCCATGGCCCTTTACCTTCCATGCATTCAGATAATTTGATCAAAAAGCCAAATGAAACATCTAGTTCCCTTTGTTTCGAACATCATCTCTGCATTGCTTCAGCGTCTTTCGTTGATTGCCGTTCTCGTCGAAATTGTCGCTGCTTAACCAAGACTCAAGTCCGCCCTTTACAACGGGCCACTCATCATCTGTGATGCTAAACCAGGCAGTATCTCTCCGTCTGTTCTTGATAGCCATATGCTTCCTACACAATGATGAGTGGCAAACAGAATTAGATCGACGCCAGTGCTTACCTAAAGACGCCTTCAAATACGAAACCAAGGCGATCTGCGGCCGACAAACTGGGCTTGTTGAGATTGTTGGCTTTCCATTCGAGTCGGGTGTAGTTCATCTTGTCGAATGCCCTCTCCATGAGAAGATAAAAGGTCTCTGTGGCTTGCCGTGTTCGCTTGAGCTTGTCGCTGAAGCAAATCGATCCGATCTCAATGCGGTTGTGGCTCGGTACGATTGACATGTACGTCATGAAGCCAATTGGTTCAGCTGAAGGATCCGACAGTGGACCCGATAGCACGGTGAAGTACAGCGGGTCTTCGGACTTGCTCCATGCCTTGACGTCGGCTTCGAATGGTTCATACTCGAGGTACGGCTCTTGAAATAGGTAGGTCCATAAATGTGCGTTCTCTTTGCCGCCGACGTGCTTGAAGAGTGCTTTCGCGTGGGACGGGTCTAGGGGAATAAGCGCCGTGTAGCGACCATCGAGCGGAGTACGTGCCGGCGGCTCGGTCGGCGGGCCGGATGGAATTTCGGGTCCAAGAGGATGATGCTCCATGACTTCCGTATTATTTACGATGCGAAATGTCTGTTTCTGTATCTGCGTGCAAATTCTCATGAAGCAGCCGAAGAGGTCGCACTAAAATATCTATATGAGAACCGGTGACTCACTCAGAAGTTGTTAGCGGAAGGAAGGATTCAACATGTCGCAATCTACGAGTCCATACGATGTTGGAACACGCCGATTACGCCGAGGCGCTGCGTCCCCACTGAACTAGAACGTCCTCTTTCCCTGTAGCTCGGAAGCAGTTCCGCGGACCAGCACGATAGCAAGCGAGCGGCCATAGTTGAGGCCATAGACTCAAAAGACAGCCGCGCGCGACCGTGTCTTCGTTGTTTCCACGGCGGCTGTAATTCAGGTAGCCGCCCATGAGGGTTCCTCCCAACACGGCTTACCTCCAACATCTAACGGTGCCAAGTTGTGCGGAGTCCCACATCTGCCAATTGGTCATTTCTGCATGGCGCTAATTGTGACAAGCCATGTACATTGGAGGGCCGTTCTTGGTCGGACGTCAATTTCTTGTTTCGGCTGAACATCGAGTCCCTTTCGGGTCGCTCGTCCTGTGTTGGAACTCATGTTACATTTACTAAAAGTAACATGGACCAACAACCTAGTCCTCGAACCAGATCCCGAGTAAACCCTTACCTGGGTTCCTGCGTGGTCGACTTACTCTGCCTTACATGGGTACCAACCCCGAAACAGGAGAGAACCAACAGAGTTTCGTGATGTTCCGCCCAGCGCTTAGCAGTATGAGATCTTCGCATGACAAGACATGCTGGAAGGGGATAGATGCAGATTTTAAAACACAATGACTTCGCCTCTATTTGCCTTCGCCATCAATGACATTGTCTCTACCCTCACCTCAATCGTTTTCCAGTCAAATTTCTGTCGCCTTTCCTAAAGTGTCCCTCGTCTCTTCGTTCAAAGTCCAACAATGCGCTCCTCGTCAAAATACCAATACTTTCCTTTGCAGCCAGGCCGCTGCATCCGGGCCATCCAACTATTACCTTCGCCGTCGCCCGAGGCACCGCTTCAATGCTACATCCGAGAAATAGATATCGACTCAGACGATGGCCTCGCATTTGAGGCGATATCCTACACCTGGGGCCCTCCTGTCTTCGATCACGTTTTGTATGTGAACAGACAGGAAAGCTTCTTCATGATTACGGAGAGTCTTTCTGATGCACTTCGATGCTTCCGTCTCAAAGACCGACCTCGCATAATCTGGGCCGACGCTGTTTGCATCAACCAGCAAGACAACCGCGAGAAGAGCTCACAGATCCCTCTGATGGCTGATATCTATCGACGAGCTGAGAGCGTTCTAGTCTGGCTCGGGAAAGATGCAAGCGCCGAATCGGCCATGCGTTCCCTGAATTGGATGGGCAGGTCAACAAGCTCAGAGCTTGAGCGAACGGAGAGGAACAAGATCGTCAGTTCCTTGGGTACCTTGCTCCGCCAACCTTGGTTCAGTCGACGATGGATCATCCAAGAGGTTGTCCGCAACCAAGACGTCACGATGTACTGTAGGTCGGCTTCTCTGTCCTGGGTGAGGCTGATTGCTACTTTGACGAGACTTGGGGAGGACTTCGGAACGAGCACCCAGCTAGCTGTACAAGCATTGGGTCAGATGCGGAACCTATGGAAGCGTATCGTTCTTCTCGAAGACTCAGGTGCTGGCCACACTCTGCTGGAAAACTTCCACTCTTTCAGTCATTTTGGTTGCGCAAACCCCCGAGACCACATTTTCGCGCTCGCAGCTCTGTCGTCGGACGTGACTATGAGCCAAGAGCCCAAATACCCGAAGAAAAATGCGTACGTCGAGCCTGTTGGAACTGTGTGTTGGGCAAACCCGAAGCCTCAGGAAAGAATGTTCCGGATCATTCCCGACTACGACATGACAACAGAGGAGGTCTACATGGCCTTCGCCGCCGAAGTGGCGCGAAATGGATTGTTCTCTTGGTTGCTATCTCGGGCGTGGGGGCAACTGCCCACTGAAGTGCTTCCCGCTTGGGCGCCAGATTGGCGCGTGACGAACCCCAATATGCCTTACTTTGCGAGGCAACTTCTCAACAGCTATACTGGGCGGGAGGAATGGGGTTCGAATGGTCTCCCGATGATGGCCGACTGGCCCAAGACCAGACTTCATGGGAATGCTCTGAGGTTGCGAAGCTTCAGTGTTCTATTGCGCTCAAAGATGTTAGCCCCGCCTCAAACTTGGGAACGTCCTGAGGATACGGTCTATGTTCGGCCTCTCTGGAAAAGCAAGCCTCTCAACTTCAAGACTGGTATGAACTGTCTTGAGTGGGTAGAGTCGTTTTCTCGAAGTACCTACGACTTTCTGAAGTCTGTGAACCAGGTGTGTAACTCCTCCCCCATGACTTTGTCACATCCTACTTTTCCTTTCGAAAATTTCCTAACCCGAACAACTCAGTCCCCGTTTGATTCTCTTGATGTGAACGACGCTTTCTTCTGCATTTGGAGCTATTTGCTGGGCTATGGTCCCAACACTACTCATTGGTGTGACGACAAGGCATCGGTCCTGGAGAAGATCAGAGCTCATGGTGTACAGACCGATGCATCGGCTTTCAGCAAGCTGAATGGGGGTCATTTCGCTATTTGTGCTCAGGGACAGGGAGAAAAGCGAGCAACCTTTCTTGCTTACACTCCAGTTGACTTGGACATCAGTACCGATGTGTTGATCCGGCCTGAAACCTCACTTTCTCTCGGCATGCGGGCTTTGCAAACCCGAGTTCGGCCAGTCCGCGTATCGTTGATCATGCGAGAACGCGTTGATCTGAAACCTTCTCAACCATGGACAAGTTCTCCTCTGGGTGTCGCGAGTAATTGTTTCAAGCTTCGTGGTCAGGCATTGGTCGTTGGGATCCAGAAGGACTCCAGTGCTTACGGTGATCGCAAGGAAGGGACAGTTTACAAACAGAACTATGATTTTGATATGTGCTGAGCTACCAGACATGTGGGCAATTGGATCTAAGTTAGGAGTTTCATGATGTATAACAACGACAAAAGACGAATTCTATGGATTTACACTATAGTGAACATACTTCTTTCATTGCCATGAATCGCATTTGCTACTGTGCCATTAATCCGCACGGAGACTTCAGGATGTAAGGTGCGGCTGATCGATGCAGGCGTAGTTACCGCCAAAGGTAACTCCGGCAAAGAGGACGACGGCAGAGACGAAGACGGCAGAAGTAAGCGCGAGACTGAAGACAGAGGCAAAAGTAGAGTCAGAATGAGGGTAGGGCAGCCGTAGCATCTTGATCCCATCAAACAATATTCCATGGGTCAGTAGCGACACAAGCACTTCTCCGACTGTGTCTTGTATATCTCAACGTATCTGCCTCGCGAGACCGCCATCACGTGGTGACCCATTCTCTTGGCGTTCTGCAAAAGGACTATGCATACCGGGTACAGGGAGAGTTGCGTGTCTCTATTGGGCGCCTTATGCGCGGCCTATCACAATTAAAACACGCGTATTGGCCAAGCCCAAATGCAGCGCTGTACAAGGTGAACCGCCATTTCCATCGACCCTTCCCGCTTCCAATTTTGTTCTCCCTCTTGCCTCAATCATCGCGGACAGCATCGAGATGTTCCCTCGCGCATGACCAGATCGTTCTGGCACAAGAGCATATTTCCTGATGTAGCACTACTTACCGTCAACATGACTGATTTATCGAAATACACCATCGGGTGGATTTGCGCCATCGACACCGAATACACCGCTGCGCAGGCTTTTCTCGATGAGACTCACGAACCACCCGAAGCAATCCCGGTCCACGACCACAATGCATACACTCTCGGCCGAGCAGGCAAACACAACGTGGTCATTGCCGTTTTGCCTGATGGCGAATATGGGCTGTCCACGGCGGGAGTTGTTGCCCAAAGGATGCTTGATTCATTTCCGAACGTTCGCCTCGGCCTAATGGTCGGCATCGGTGGAGGTGCCCCGAGTCAAAGACCGGGTCACGATATACGGCTAGGAGATGTTGTGGTCAGCTCCCCTCGAGATGGGCACTCCGGCGTGCTTCAATACGACTTTGGAAAAACTATCCAAAATCAGGAGTTCAAACTCACTCGGACTTTGAATCTTCCCCCAAATATCCTCAGGACAGCTGTGTCTAAATTGAGAAGTACGTTTGAAATGACAGGAAGCGACATTCCCGAAGCGATTGAAACCGCACTATCCAAGAAGCCGAGGCTACGTAGGAAGTACGGTCGACCTCCACAGGAGACAGATATACTTTTCCTAAGCCATGTGGTCTATGATCCTCGCAGACCTATCGAAGCTCCAGAGCCAGATCTTTTGGTTCCCAGGCAAGAGCGTGACGAAGATGACGACAATCCTGCCATCTTCTATGGACTCATTGCCTCTGCCAATCAGCTGATGAAGGATGCTGAAGTTCGAGACAAGTTTGCGGCACAGAAAGATGTTCTCTGCTTCGAGATGGAGGCCGCGGGACTCATGAACCACTTTCCGTGTCTGGTCGTTAGGGGTAAGTCAAAGCACCCACTTTCCGATCACCCCCACTTTCCGATCACCCCCACTTTGCGATCACGCAAAAAATCACTATCATAACAACCACCACTTTATTTAATTAACTATCAACATTATCTAGATGCCACTATAATGCAACTTTCGGCCTCACTAGGTAATTCCGATGCACTGGACTCATCTGACATACTCTCAGCATCGCCAGCCTCAATCTGGGCTTGCCGCACCTCTTTAATCGTCGCAAACTTCGTGTTTGGATCCAATATAACAGCCTTCCTCTTCCTCGTAGTACTATTGTCGACTCTGGCCTGGAGGAGCTCTATCTGGCGCTGGGCGGTAGCTAACTCAAAGGCCTTCTCCTCATAGCCTTTTTTCACCTTCCTAAAGAGCTGGCGTTGTGTGGCGATAGTTTGATCCAGCTGGCTGAATAACCGTAGTTGATCATCAAGATCCTTCTTCTTCTTAGGCGTCGACCACTTAACTG